AAATGGGGCAATTTTGGGGCCCCTTTTTCCCTTCCGTTTTCCCGTCCCCCGGGGGCGGCCGATTTTTTGTTTTTTTTTTTTGGGGTTTTCCCTTTTTTTTGGGCAAAAAAAGGGGTGAAACCCCCCTGGTTTTTTTTCCGCCCCGGGGGCCTTTCTTCGGGGGCGTTCTTCACCCCAATAGGCCCGGGCCCCCCCCAAAACCCCTTTTTGGGGGGCATAACCCCCCCCCCCCCCCCCCTCCCCCCCCTTCCGCTGGGGGCAACCTAAAAACACCAGGACAAGATGTGCGTGTACGACCGCGGGGGCCGCTTGGCCGGATCCACCCCTCTCGCCGCCCCGCCCTCCCAGCGCCCGGTGCTCGGCGACTTCGACGGAGACGGCGTGGCCGACGTCCTGGTCGTGGGGTGGAGCGGGGCGGTGGCCGGCTACGCCCTCGCTCCGGACCCGGGAGTCCGGGCGATGTTCGTGGCGGTGTTGGCGCTCGTGGCGGCGATGCTGGTGGTCGCCGCCGTGCATGTTCCGCCGCCGCCCTCGTCGTCGTCGTCGAGGGGGGGGGGGCGGGCGACGCAGTATGGGACGGGGCTGGCTGGAGGGAAGTCTAAGCGCGCGACGGACTAGGGTTGGAGGGTAGTTTGTGCTGTGGATATTTTGCCGGGGCGTGTGTTGTGGGAGGTTTGTTTTTTCCACTTGGTGGTTTTGGTTGAGTCGCTCTTGATTTTTTGTTTGACTTTTTGGTTGGTGATCGATTGTTACGGACGACGTGTGTTTTTGGTGGGGGGTGTTTTGTGTTCGGGTGGGTGTTGGTGGGTGATGGGCCGTGTGTGTGGCGTTCTTTTCGTTGGCGTAATGTCATGGGAAGAGGGTAGGGGGGAGCGATGTCCACGCTCAACCCTCTCGACGGAGAACACTCGTTCGTTTCGCGTTAAAAAGTGAGACACACTGGGTGATTTACCGTGTCCGCTTACTATTGTGGTAACAACAGCAAGTGGCAGCAGCCGCGTTTTCGTCGCCACGGAACGTTATTTTTATGTTTACAAGAACAATAACCTGTACGTGCAAGTTTAGAGGGAAAGGACAAAGAGTGTTTCCGATGATCACTGAGCAACGACAACTGGAAGAGGGCAGCTGCTGTAGGACAGCCGTTGCGACCGCAATCGTTCACCGAAGTACCTCTCATTTTTTCACCAGATAAAATGAAGCGAACCATGGGGGCAGCTTGACGAGGTGATGCGGACAATACGGCCCGAAAGATCACCCCCCTTGCCGCGGAGAAAATGCGTGCCAGTTGCGTTTACCAGTCCCGGCCTATGTATTCCTACTCGTATTTACAACTCTACACGTTGTTGCACGACACTTCTCAACACAAGCTGTACGGAGACATGGAAAACGATTGCGTTAACACCAGTGCAGCATAGAACACCCGCAGAACACTCAACTGCCGCCCAATGGTGGGGCTCAAATGTGTGCTTCGAAGAAGCAATCAATCACTGCTCCCCGTTTCCCTCGCCCCAGCGCCCTCGATCGCTCCTGCCGACAATATCAAGCCGTAGGCTCCGGCCTCCTCACCCATTCAACTCTCCCCCGACCGGACACTGCGCAAAAGTTCAGGGATCGTCCTGCACCGACCACAGATTGGCCTTCTTCATCCAGGAAGTCTTCACGCCCGCCTCCTTTTGGGGGAAGTAGCAGTGAGCTACCACCGTCGTCTGGTTCGAGAGCGTCCTTCTACCGCAGAGCCTCGTGTACGCGCTGTGGGGGAGCAAGGTCACCCTGAATGGTGCCTCTACTTCCCTTGTCCCTCTGCCGACGACAACGCCGTGGCCTGTTTGCCCAATGAAAAGATCGCCACCACCGCCGCTGGTGCTGTTGTTGCTGGTGCCGAGGCCGGCGATGATCCCCCTGCCGTAGCCCGTGCTCTCCTCGTATCTCATGTCGCTGTTCTTATCCCACACGATTCCCAGCTGTTTCGCGGCTCGATTGACCGAAATCTTCTCAACCGAAACAACCGAAAATATCAAAGAGGCGGCCGGGGGGGCGCAGCATCGTGGCGCAGAACGCCCTTTCCGTAAGTGTTGGGTTTGATCGCGAACGAGAACTTGCAGGCAAACCGCAGAAATCGTTTTCAACGCCCGTGACCGTCTCCGCATCGCTGCACACTCACACAGCATCTGTCAACGGAGAAGCAACGTACCAGTTGCACGAAAAACGTGACGCCCCCCCCCCCCCCTCCCCCCAATAGTTGTCGCGCTCTTGTTGACAGGCCTACAACGCGACGAAAATTTTCAGCCAAAAAGTAGTCCTGGTTGGTCCGCTCATCGACCGTTGTTTGTAGGTAACAGGTCTACCCCATATGTCCTACCGCTCTTGCCTAAGAGCCCCGCCTCTGGGTCACGCAGAAAACACGTTGTTCTTATTCTGAAGCATATGCCATATTACAACAATAGGCGAATGCAAGCGTGTTCGAAAGCTTTCCACCTGGTCGTCCTTGTTCTGCACCACGAGGTCCGCCATGACGTCGAGGAACCTCTTCATCCCCGCAACGTTCCGCGCGCGGAACAGGATGAACCCCATGCAGAGGGTCGAGCCCCACTCCTTCCACTGGTCGTTCGGCCAGCTGCCGCGCGAGGCTACGATGTCTCCCCTGCCACCGTCGCCTCTGCTGAACAGGTCTTTTGCCGGGTCGGCGAGCCAGAGGGCATCCGCGTCGCTCATGATCACGTCCACGTTCCCGATCTCTAGGAGGCATGAAACTACCCTTACCCTGAGAAAGAAGGAATATTTCGTAGGAAGGAAAGAGAGAGTTAGAACGCCGTTGAGTCCCTGAGCATGAGCGTCAAGTGAAGAGACAAGCACAAGAAGCGAGGGCAGTTGTCTGGAGGAAAGAGACAAACGAGGAGCGGATATGATTCAAACCTGTGTGTGCCGGAGAGAGAGGTGTATGCAGAGAGAGAGAGAGAGAGAGAGAGAGAGAGAGAGAGAGAGAGAGAGAGAGAGAGAGAGAGAGAGAGAGAGAGAGAGATAGCGACATATATAGAGAGAGAGACAACAAACCAGTGCCTAAACCAAACCTGGACCCTTATTACGCATGTATACAGAAGCTACTCATCGTTTTAATACCTGAGTTGCCAGATGTGTTCATGCGTGGGCAGGTCCAATGCGCTCATAGGTACGCAGCGAATCCCCATTTTCGTGTCGAAAAAGTTCTTGGATGCATCGTCCATGCACATGAGGTAGATGTTGCGGCGTGTGAAGCCCGAGTTCCTCTCCATCAGTCGGATGAAGTTCCGCTCGATATCAATATAGCCCTCGCTCACCACCTACACGCAGACGTGGTTTTGATGTAGGAAACTCAAAAACGAAATTCTGTATGTATGGTTGACGTCATCATCACACTCGACCTGCCACTACCGCTAACGTAGCACCAGGACGAGGTTTGAAGTGAATGCGAGGGGCGGTTAGCTGGTAGTGCTGGGTGCCACCCGCTACAACAACCCGTTGCCTCAAATCAACACGTGCCCGCTGAAACAGGCGTTCTTGTTCTAAGGAGATGTGATGAGGTCATTTCATATTGCTTCCGCTTGCCCAGACAATGCTACCAAGGGAACGGGGGGGCAGGTGATATTCAACAACGACAGCAGCGCATACTGCGTATGTGATCTACCTGCATCACCACGGCCGGTCGCGATCGCGGAGGTATCCACGCTGCCCAATCCACACAGGTGGCATCCTTCGTTATCGCCGGCAGTGTTTCCAAGTCGTAGATTTCTGGATCGATAAGCTCGGTCAACGCTACCGGCAGCTCGGCCGACACAAATATAACCATTGCCACTTTGGCGAGGTAGCGACACGCCGTCGCCGCTAGGCTCCTCTTTCTCCGAGGCTGCGGTAGTGGTGATGGTGGTGATGGTGGTGGTGGTGACGGCCTCATCATAATTTTTTCGAGGGCGGACGAGGCGTACCCGTCCTGTCCGTGGCTGTCGGTGTCTTGTTCCCCGTCAACCCCCTCTCTCTTTCCCCCCTTTTTTTTCTCTCTCCCTGCCCCCCCCTCGCTCTCACTCCTTCGGCCCAGCAGTCGCCGGAGTCGCCACGAATGATAAAGGAGGCGTTCGATGTCGTCTACCGACGAAAACCGGGGGGTTGCTAAATGCGTAGTATCTGCTGCGGAACTGGGGAGGGGGGAGGATTGGAAATTTCACACTGTGCTGAAACGTAGTCATGGATACAGCCCAGGGTGAAAAGTGTGAGGGTCAGGTGATTGACTTTGAACTCATGTTGACCGGCAAATCGGTGCGATTCTAATAAATCTCAGGCTGTCTATCAATACCATCAGGGCAGGGGAACGTTCCACCCAAACACAATGCCTGCAGACCCCCTCGCCTCTTTCTCTCTCTAGCACCCGCCCAGGCTCTCGTGAGGAAAGCTCGCAAACTCTAGCTGTATCAGACATGCCCACACATTGAAACCTGGACTCATTTGGAGCAACGTTTTCTGTTGCTATATTGTCTCCCTCCCCAAACCTGCCTACTTCGATCTTTGGACAGTTTGACCCGCGGGCGGTTTAGTATGACGCATTCTTCGGCTTTCCACGAAGTTATGCTGCCACCCAGCTGTCTGCAGGCCACTTATCTGTTTTGGTAGGTAGAATACTGTGGTCTACAGTACAATAGGTCCTCTCTTTGTGTTCGGCGGAGAAGGGGCTTCGTAAATATGGCTCAAGACCCATCAAAGAACAGCTTCTTGTTGGCTTCAAGAGTCTCTGGGAAATCTTTTTATTTTTATTTTTTTCTTAATATGACACAACGAAACCATCTCTATCATAGAAAAGAGTCTGAGACAGATTAGCAATGGATTCATAGCGTCAGAAAGTACCTGCATGTCTACTCTCGCGCAAAACCCGAAGATCTTGCGGGCCAATGTAACCAAACCACTAACCCTACCAAAGCAGGTAGCAGGTGGTGGGCGGACGCTCTGGTACCGACTGCAACTTTTGTTTGGAACAAGCAGGGCGGGACACAACACGAGCAGGGCGGGACAAAAGTAGATACAGTACCAGGATTGGATTTTGTGTTTTGGGATGTCACCACAAGCAAGCCACGCGGCCCTACAGACTGCCATCGTGGAACCCCCGACCCGTTCCACACACGCACTCACATTATTGCCGAAAGGAAGACAATGCTTAACACCCAAGCAGCTGAGTCCAAGGATACGGGACGAGTTTGGTTTGCGTCTGGGGTCAGATACTGCGTTCGTGCCTGCATCGGGGAAGGTATCCATTTTTTTTCCGTCGATTCGGGGAGCTGGTGTTATTCCGCCGCTTGTCCGGCGGGGCAATTCCCGCCGTTTCGGCGCTTTGGTCTGAAGGCCACCCTGCTCACACAGAGGGAGGGAGAAAGGGACAGACTGCATCAGCGAGCTGCTGTCCCAGGCAGCAGCGGCATGGATGGGGGTAATAGGAGGCCCAGCCGGGCCAATGTAGCGTGGGCCGCAACGACTAAGGATGACGATCTACTTCGAGGAAATGAAAATTCTCGCCCCGTAGCAACGCCGTCTCATCGGGTGAGAGTGAAGGAGATGTTATCATGCACACACGGCAGCAGTCAATCGCGGCTGGGCTTTAAACCACAAGAGTACAGAAATGCTCTTCGCTTGCAGAATTACAACAGTATGCGTGATGCGTTGTCAACGCCACCAACAGCAGTACAATCCACGACATGCGGTGCAGCTCGCCCGCCTGTGCTTGTGTCAAGGACGGCGGAGCCTTCGTGCCTGTCCAACATGCAATGTGCAGCCTTGTACACTATCTGCTATCTGCTCTTCATACTCACATCCCGGTCGTACTGTGAGGTCTCACATACCTCCCGCCCAGAAGCAATGCAGATACCCCATATGACTCTACCCGATAGACCACATAACATACAACCGTCAACGCACGTTACTGCCCGCCGTGGTTACAACAGTCTGCCCTGGGCACGGGAGGTTCCCCGGACGCCCTCGTCGGTCGGCTATACGCTGGTCCCGGTCGACAACAGCGACTTGCTGAAAATTCTCCGCCACGGAATACCTCCTTTGGGACTACCACAGTCCACAACCAGTATCGTCAAGATGTTGGCGATGTTGGAGACAACGTGGCATCTCCCGTCGGCGGCGTGTCCGGCCTCATACGCTCTCGCGTCGCAGCTGCAACTGCGGCAACAAGCTTTGATAGAGATTCGCTGGCGGAACAACAACAGTCTGATGCCTTGGTGCCTAGGCTAATCCATCACCAACCCTCAGAGGCATCGCCGCCGGGAAACGACGGCGGCTCTCAGCGGGGGGACGGCATCAACAGCCCGCCTCGCATCGGCGTGCGAAACCGATCATCAGGTGGCAATGCCGCGAAAAGGGTGAGAGGCGCGGGATCGCGGCGTAGCAGTGGCGGAAGTGTAGCCGCAGCGGGGAATCAGCCACAGAAGCAAGGGCCATCAGCAGCACGTCAGCAGCAGCCGAGTGTTGGTGGTCGGATGATGCTAAGCCGGAGTCTAGGGGCTCTGGGGCAGGCGGGAGCTGGAACATCGACCCTTGCCATAGTAAACACGCGAGATGACGGGGCGCCCTACCTCAGAAGCGATAAGATGTCTCCCAAATCATCCCTGCGGGCGGGAAGGGGTTTATCTTCCATACGGTCTTCTCCTGGTCGAGAACCTCTTAGGTGAGCCCACTTCCTTGGGGATTGTAGAACGGAGCTCTACTGTTGGTGTACGTGCGCGATGTTAGTCTTTTTGATGGGTTACAGCTTTCCGCTCGGCAACACGCTGCAGACGATTGGTAGTGAACCTATGAAATGGTTGGCCGTTGCGCAATGAAGTCGCAACACTTCGCACAAAGCACATTTGTGCGACCACACATAAAACAATGCTTCGCCAGGTATCTCTTTTTGCCCGTGAATGTATTGCTACTTCTAAGGGAAGAAGCCCATGCCAAAAGCTCACCTCATTGCCCCCGGCCCTCCCTAATTATTGAACACGCCGTGGCTCCAACAGCCCCCCGGGGGGCGTGAGTGCATTGTCATACTCAGGGTCCGTCAGGGAGGTCGGGATCGGTCACAGAAATAGCTCCTCTGATGCTAGAGAAAGCGGAGTCTTGTATCCGCCTGCGATAGCGGGGGTGGGAAACGGCAGAGGGGGTGTCCAACTCACTCCTCACAAGGGTGCGAAGCACAGCAGAACAACAGGAGAAGCAAAAGCAGAAGGACAGATGACACACGGCAGCGCTTTGAGAGGAAACGTATCGCCGTCGTCACCGCTGCGAACATCGAACGCGGCCGGTGTCGAGCTCGGGGGACGGCCCACGGGAAAAAACAACGTTCTCCTTGATGACGACGGTGACTTAGAGCCTGCTGCGCCGGAGGAGACGTTTCTGGAATCACTACATCTGGACCGAGATCAACTAGCTGACTTTTCCAACAGCGAAGGTCACTTCCTGTACCTTCGTCAGAAGCCCGGGACGGACGCTACGGCGTACAACTTGGAGGTGCGTTTGAGTGAGCTCCATGGGTTCCAAGCAGCTTCCCACGCGCCGAATTCCACGTAGAAGTACATGTCGAAGGTCCCGCCGATCTCACTCACGCGTGCAACAATTTTTCTCGTGTTTAATCGACACAGCGTACAAGGGCTGAAACGTGATGCTTGCCTTTGAACCTGAACGGTTGGGGCTACGCCAAGACACAACAAGGCGCTGACATCGCACAATCACACCATGCGATCGTTGTCAAGGCCACGGAACTGAATGCTGTCGAAAGCTGCAAATGAGTGGATCTCGGGCGGGGGTTGGGTATTGTTGCCCGGCAGAGCAATTACGCCAAAAAATTGCATCATGTCGTAAAAAGTGAGACTGGTGTTCTGAAACCAACAGGGAGGTTCCTCCTGTCGAACACATGAGCATTAGATCGGGAAAAATACGACATCTGTGCACAGAAACATCCAACCAAGCACAACCCACACTACTACGCACCCTGCAATTCCCACAACAAACAAACACTTCTTGGAACCGCATGGGTTTCTTCTTGAATTTCCGCCCCTCTCCAAAGGTAACAAGTAGCTTCGACCGACAAGCGCCACCGACGGTCGGCGCCCACGCGCAAGGCGGCGAGGGAAAGGGGCAGTCCCCGCCAAGAGGAGGCGGTAACGCCCACCATGGACGGGGAGCGCAGGGGCAGGGGCAGGGGCACGACTACTACACGCTCAGCCGGGCTGGGATAACCCACCTGAAAGACTCGTCGAGCGACTTCACGGCGCTGGACCGATGGGAACGGGAATACGCGCTGTTCCACCAAATCAGAAGGTCCGGTGTGGAAGTATTTGACACTCGTAGTGTTTGCCGACGACCAAGCCTACTCATTGTTGAAGAATTGGCCGATCATTTGCATGAGAATACACGCCCATGGCGCATCGTTCTGATATGGCAGCCATTGGAAAATGTTTCTGGTCCAGTCGTTCATGACGATGTGGAACTAGGGATTTAGAGACAATCGATGGTCGTTTTCTCCGCTGACAGATGTTATCCATGGCAGTGGCCCGTGAGTGCACGTATGACGTCCGTGACCTTGTACTGCAGGGCTGAGCCTCTTGCGTGTCTGTAGTGCTCCACTGAAGATGTAGCAATGGTTTGATCGCCTTCGTAGTTTTCCTTTGGTGGAGTGCATGGCGTATGCTATTCGTGGGAAGGGGTCCTGTCGTGGAAACGACGCACTGCAGGCTTTGTGATGTAGCCTCTGAACAGCAGCATGTACGTGTCACCTCCTTTTAAGAAATACAACTCGAGATGCCGCACACGCACCAAACAACTGAAAAAACACCTGACCCCATAGGATATCATTCTTCGAGCTGTACCGGCGCTGGAAAAGCTTCGCTGTGTGGAAGAGAACCGTGAGGGCCTTCAAGTTCTCCCAGGCGTCTTCGGCCCTGAGGACCGGGCTGTTCGCTTTTGTGCCCCCGCTGAGGCTGGCGATTGCCGAGATAAGGAAGGAGTGCGTCTACGTGGAAACCCGGAGGCTGTTCGCGGTAGGACAGGGGGAGACCATCACCCTCGAGGCCTTCCTGGAGCGCCAACGAACAAATCAGCAAGAAGGGGCGCAGGTGTGTCGGCTGGCGTTTTCTGCGTGTAGAAGGACCAAAAGAGGGGCTGCTTTTCAGCTGGTTGTTCTTGCTACACAACCGACGCTTTTTCTGTGAAGTGAGTTTCTAGAGCTTGGCGGCCTGGCATCGTTGTTTTGTGTGGGCCGGGTTTGTGCTCGGTACGTGCGCTCGGAGCTCCTTGGACTGCAATTGGAAACCGTGTGATCGGCGGCGAGGAAACCGAAACGAGATACACGACCGAACTTTCTTCTCATTTCTTAGTTAGCCTCACGAGACGACCACCTGGTCGTTTTGGCCACGGGATGAATCGTGCTTATGACGGTGATTGGCAGCCCAGGGCTTTTTTCTTGAAGCGCCTTGCGTGCCAATCTTCAACGTCTACATCCCTCCGATCATTCATCGAGCGCTTCTACTCCCATGGCATCGCCGCCCTGGCCCTAGACTACCCGTTTTCTTGTGATATATCTTCTGGTGGTATGGTGTGGACCCGCTTGCCCCCCCGTTCGCACTTGTTCCCGTTGGACGGCGCGAACTTTAATGTCAGACCCACCACATCACTGTTGTACTTCGATCAATCTCACTGACATTCATGACATCGGCCATGCGTTTCTCTGGATGCATGTCGTACCTCTCTCAACACGTACCAGCTACTCCAAGCGTTTTCGGAGAAAATTCTTGAGGTCGCTCGCGCGTCTCTCGACGAGGTGGTGGACGGCTTCCTGCGGACGAACGGTATTGTGGCTGACCACCACATGACCTTCATGGAGCGCACGAGCTTGCGGTCCGAGTGCCGCCGGCTGACGCAGTTCCTCCGCCTGGTAGACTTTGTCGTGGTGGACACGCTAAGGGACCTGGTGAGCAAGAGGTTGCCGTTCAATGTTGCAATTATTGCGCTTCCTTGTTCATGTGGCGGTCGGTGACTGGATATCGTTGGATGTGCTGCTCAAACAAGCATGGACACGTTTGCATTCTGGGTCCCCCCCTCCTTCACTGACGAACTAGAAGCCAGAAAGAGCGATGATCTTTTGCTTACCCAGCGGCGGTGGCCATGAAATGCGCATCTCGTCGTCACCATCCCCCTCCCGTTTGACACAGTAGGCGCACATACACATGAACGTGAGCCGCGCTCTCAATGCACCTACCGGGTTGACGACAGGGACAATGCCAAACAGCAGAAGAAGAAAACCTTGACAATCTTCTTTCCTCTAGGAGACCGAGGCACATGCCCGTTGCAGGCCTTTCGTGACGCCACAAACTGACTAGATCGACCCCCAGGCAGTCTGAATATGTTCGTACGGAGAGTTCTCTTTTAAATCACTCCTCTCGAGGACTACCAGTTTGTTTGCTTCCTCGAGACACGTCTCGCACTCTGGTCCCTAGGCTGAACCCCAATTGCCTATCCTGAGAACGGGTGCGTACTGCTAGTAGTCAGCAGCACGAAACCATCACCACCTTTTGGCAGGCACGTAAGTGTCCAAACTCACAGCGGACGCTGAGATAATTTACTGTCCTGGCGACCGCTCCTTCTTGTCTCTCGTATTCCCACCGCAAGGTGCTGGGCTCGGTCGCCGAGGCCGCGAGACTTGTCGCCACCCGAGACATCAGGATCATCCACGCCCTGCCGGGCGCCGAAACCGCTCTCCCTGCCGCAACCAGCGCGGTAGGGGCAGGGGGGGTAGTTGGCGGCTCGGAAGGGTTTGATCGTGGCGCTTCTAGTGCAGGGGGTGCGGGTGGCGGTGCTGGCGGTGGGGGCGGTCGCAAGGCAGCAGGAGAGCCGGCGGGCGATCAAGTGCCCTTGTTTAGGTAACGGAAACGGTGTGATCTAGACCGCGGCGTTTTGCGTAGAGCTGTTCTTGAGGTTGAGGTGTCAGCCGCTGTGCCCGGTGGGCCACAACTCTTGAAGCCTCTCCCGTTTTTTAGCCACAGAGTGACGGCTGTCGCCTCGTGGGCGACGTTTTCTTTCGGCCATATATGGCTGGTCGAACACTCGGGCCATGAAGGTATTGTGTTTCCGCTCTCGTGTTGTGCTCTGAGGGCGAGAGGGAGGAGCGAAAGAAGAAAGGAAGCAGAGGCACCTCGCTCTTCCAGTAGAAAGTCTCGGCAGTCACACTGTTTTTGAGAATCCTCTGCAAACGAAGACAAACGATTGTTTCAATTTCCATACTTTCCGGCGCGGGATCAACTTTCCCTCCATAGCCCATCCTCACGTTCTTTTTTCCCCGCCTTCATTTTGTTGCTCTCCCTGGAAAAGCGTCCGTCAGATAAGAAACATACCGGTTCAAGACAAAGTTTCGAAACTGCCTATGAATTTCCTGGTGGACGTCTCATGAAGCTCCCGAGCATTGTCGATGGATGAAAATATGTACACATCGCTCGCAGAGTTATGCGCGCGGGTACCGTGGCCGAGAAAGGCCTAGATTGCTCTGATGGTTCGTCTGAGAATCCGTTCTTTTGCCAGTATTTGCCATCTCTATCATTGTGTGTGTCGACGTGACTGTTTGTTTCTTCTCCGGTGCTGTCGCTCCTTTGTGCAGAATATCTGTGAACTTCACAGACGATGGAGAGCTGGTCGTTTCACCCACAGCCGAGGACATCACGGAGAGTTTTCGAGGTGACGTTGAGCCCTCCCCTTTTCTTGACGGGCAGTACGTTGGGCCAAACGAAAGATGGAGTATATCATGGTCGCCTACGTACCAGTAGACAGTTGAAATCGAAAAGGGCGAAACTGACACTCACTCGAAATCCAGGCGTCCTGGCGGCATCCATCGAGGTGATCGGGATCCCGAAGCGCGTCCTGACGAGCCCCGACCTAGCCGCGTACGTGATGGCGGAGGGGGACGACGGCGAGGAAGGCGGGCGAGCAGAGGCAAGAATCACAAAAACAGAAACGGAGAGAAATATACACCAAAAATGTCTTCTCTCATGTATTCAACTACAAGAAGCACGACGCTTGCTTCCCAAGAAGAAAAGCAAGGAGACAGGGCCTTGTTCTGAGACGAAACCCAACACCAGAAATCAAAATGGTGGCGTGTGAGCACCATAGATGTGTTGATGAATTGAAGAGAGCGAGAAAATTGGGATTCCTCTCCAGAATAATGCTGCTGCTAGCCGTTGTGAACATGGCGTTGTGGAAGTATACGACCACCTCTGATGTTCATAGATTTTGATGCCAGGCCCCTCACCCCACCCCCTTCTGTGCACACAGACGTTCTACTCTTCCCCTCGGCGGTCTCTACAACAATAAATGGGCTCAAGTCTAGAGAAAAGCAACAGAAAAAACACTACATTAATCCGGTGATTGTCGTGCTGTTTGTTTGCAGGTGGGAGTGCAGGACATGGTCCGTCAGGATGAACGGTTTGACCACATAACCGGCAAGATTTTCAAGGGGCTTCAATCGGCGTTCGAGCAGGTATGTTGTCGTCGTCGTTGTCGTAGTCGTTGTCGCCGTATCTGTGCTGTTGCTGTGATTTCTCGTAGGTTTTTTTGGTCGCTGCTGGAACGACGCACTGAGAAGGCTGATACTGCGACCCACTTGCGATACCTGAAATGGAGTCCCCCCCGGTTCGGTCTAAGTTCGTCAGCACAATTCATGGACCGATAACCAGAACGTTGATGCTGGTATCAGCCAAATCAATAACCTCCGCTTGCTCATCAACCTTTTTCTTGTCACGAAAAACACGCACGTGGTCTGAAACAAAAACGAAAAAAGGTGAAGGAATACATCCAAGTGTTCGAACCGTACAGAGAGACCTACATGGCCAACAACGAGCACATGACCAGGGTCAAGCAGGCGTATACCAACAGCTCCCTGGAGGAGTTCCACAAGGACATCGACAAGTACCGCGGCATGACAGAGGAGTTCGAGGCAATACCTGCGAGAGCCACGGTACGTACGTAAACGCGGAAGAGGAGGAAGATGGGGACATGGAGGAGGAGACGGCTGCTCGTATGTGCCTGAAAGAAGGGAGGATTACGAGGTCGTACCCGTGGTTGCTCGTTTACAGTGGATTTCAAACATCGTACGCACGAGAAGGGGGGAAGCAGAGGCTGGGCACTAATTTCAAGGGCGAGCGGACTAGTAGCTGGAATGACCTGCATAAGATCGTATGCCTCTGGTGTGATGTTGTCGCAAAGCCTAGACATTTGCCGGAGTACCGTCAGACAGCTATTCATTTTCGAATTTGCATCACTAGCAATGTTTGCTTTGTCTTGATACAATCAAACGTACACGGAAATCGTTTCCTTTTCGTCCCTGCTGTTCGTAACATTCATACCGAAATGCCACAACATCCACGAGATGGTTCATCATCAACGTGACAACAAGCCGAAGAGGTTATCGTTCTCTCACTATAGTTCCACGAACTTCAGGGTTCAACAAGCTGCCGCGCCGTTTCAAACTTTTCTTCGATTGTATTTTACATTTCACATATACTTGGAAACGTCAAGACCGTAGTCGTGCCGACCAAATCTTGTGCTGTGGCTCATCTACCTGAAGCGTTGTCGTTGCGCGCGAAACAGCTCGCTCGTCATGCTTCGCCCAATGCCGCGTTCGTGCTGATATTTCGCGTGACATTTGTCGTGACGAAGGTGGGAATCATGGAGGTGGACAGTGAACACATGCGGATGCGGCTCATGCCAAGCCCGGTGCAGTGCCTCAACGCCATCAAGGTAATCGCCACCCGACAGCATGTAAAACTATGCTAAACTCGAACAAGGAAACTGCCAAGGCATATTCTAAGCATCCCAATGCAAGCCACCTACGTGAAGTTCGTCCCGGATCCGAGATTTCCAGAGGAGATGGGGAGAACGGCACGAATGAGTAGAAAGCACCGTGCGGTGGTAACTTGCAGAAGAACTGGAGCAGCCCCTCTGTTTGGCGGCAGAAAATGAACGCGTTCCATTCGTTCCCTCTTCAATAGGAACTTATACCAGAACTGATGGAGGCGGGGAGCGGGGCGCTCCTGGATGAGCTGGATGCGATCATCCCCCACATCTCGGGGGGGAGCGCCAGCGTGGAAGACTTCGTGGCGAAGAAGAAGGCCGTCGCCGTGGCACACCAGGACAATCCCGGACATATCGAGGCAAGACCCTGCGGGAATGATGTGATGATATTTAACAAGAGTGTCGAAGAAAAAATGGTACCAGGTGGTAGCATTTTTCGGAGGTGGCCCATTCAAATACTTGCAGGTTAAGTTGCTTCGTCGCACGTTGTGGGAAACATCCTCTGTTGGTTCGTGCGGCCCTTCAATTTGGATTCTGCTTAGTCTCTGTCCGCCGGGCTTGCACATGAACGTAGGGGACCGGCGTTGTCTCACGCGCTTACCAGTCGGCGAAAGAGGCGAAGTATCGATCACCCGGTGGAATCTTCAGCAGTTGCGGGGGGGGATCCTCTTAAGCCAGTCGTTGACGAGGGACATGTACATCGAACGCCAGAACATTTTCGTTGGGAACGTGTGACGGGCTTGCAGAGTCGATGAGGTACGGGGCATTGGCGGCAACAACAACCGCAATAGCCGCAGCAGTAGCAGGAGCAGCACAACATCACCAACAACACCGCCAACGGCAGTAGCAGCACAACAACGCCACCACCTCACGACGACCAAACAGGCCCGCCAACGGCTGCGGGACATGGCGGCCATGATGAAGGAGTATGGCTGGAGGGTGCCGGAGGCGCAGAGGGCGAATCTCATCATGGTGGAGGAGAACATGACCGCGCTAGAAAACGGCGTCCAGGTAGGACAGAAGCAAGGAGAGGCACTGGAGGCGTGATTGCATGGCGTTGGACGAGGGGAGGTGAGGGGGGATGGAAGGAAGACGTGCGTCCGCATGCACGAAATATCTACAAACGCTCGCATTCACTCAGCCCCCCTGTTCGAAAGATTTTGGCCTCTCTCCATTGCTTCTGAAGCATGGAATTTGTGCTGCACGGCTCATGAAGGCATGGAAAAATGACTCGTTCCTAATCAACGCGGGGGTCGAGATCCTCGGACGCAGAAACCCACCCCCAGCAAAAAAAAATATTGAAGGTGAACCCGACATGAAGTCGAAATAGGAAGAGGTTTACACGCACGCCCGTCACCGTGGCGGTGGAAGAAGACATGACGTTTCTGAGAAGCATTTCTTCACAAAAAACACACGTTTCTCGCCGATCGAACGAAAAGGTGGCGGAATCAATGGAAGAGGAGGAAACTCGCCGCTTCGCTGAGACCATCCGAGAAGAGGTGAGAGCAAGCGCTCCCGTGTCGGAGATACCGCCGGTAACCACGTATTTCTTCAACCCCCCCTCCCATCACATGTAGTGTTAGGTTGACCCCAAAGAGCGCATGGTCAACCATCGGGCTTAAGCTCCTCGTCGCGTACACGGATCATTCTTTTTCTCTGTGCCATGTGCTTTGTCTTCGTCCTTTCCCACTCAACCCCGGAGCGGCGTTGTTTCAGCTCATTCTGGGATATTGTGCATGGTGTCCCACTTAATATTCCGGGTTGCCGCTTCCGGATGGCGGATAAAACAATCCCGATACCTTGAAACAGACAGGTCGGGATATGTTGTCGAAACGAAAATTGCTTGACCGCAGGCCCTTAATGGGCAGCTTGCTTTATTCGGCATCTCGAGGTCGTGTTAGGAGCATCAACCTCGAGGTCGCGCTAGGAGCATCAACCTCGAATGTTCAGTCGTTTTCTCGGACGAATCGGACGCTTCCCGTTCCATGCGAGCTTTCTTCTTTCCGTTCGTTGGAGAGGTGCTGGTTCTGGATCACAGAAATATCCCCCGCCTCACTGATCGTTCCCGACAGAAGAATGCGGCCAACGCATGCTGTGTCGGGAGCCGAGGTGGAGAGGCACATGTTGTCGATCGACGTACACAAGCACATGTACATGTCGCGATATCACGCGCGTTCAACCTTCAAAGTTGTGCTATTTATTGTTACGCCCATGCTCATTCCCACACACGCAGGTTCCAAAGCTGGCGAAGAAGATAGCGCAGGTGCGGGAGCGGCTGGACAACAGCCTGGTGGCGAGCATGGATACCGAGGCGGAGAAGGTGCTGCAGTTCCTCGGCCAGGAGGAGGATATGCTCAACCAGCACAAGGACCGCTGCACCAAGCTGATGGAATACCAGGTGTGCGGTTTGTCAGGACTTCAGTTTGCATGATGAAAGAAGAAAATTGTTCCTTTTACCCCTCGGCGTTTCTGCGATCTGGGTTGCCTGCAAGCACATACTGTGCGGGGTTTCGTGTCAACTACTGTATTTCTAATATTCGAATCCGCTAGACTACATAGTGCCGTTCAGCCTGAAATCTTGGAAGCACCTATTTCGACACACGGAGCTTTTTGAGACGCACGCCTTCATCTCCAATGAATATGTTCACACGGTGCGTCCGACGCTCCAAATACACCAACCGCGAACAGATGCCCCTCTGATGAATCGACAGCCACAAACTACTGATGTCAATACGTGCCAATGTTTGAAAACATTGTAGTTGAATGTTATTGTCCCGCCCTGTGTCTGGGACCACCAACTTTACAGACGCTGCTGGCGCAACCCGTGGACGAGATTGACACCCTTGACGAGGTAGTCTCGGACCTCACCCTCAAGGTAGGCACCGTCAGTCCACCACTAGCTTAAGGAGTCCCATGTGTAGATGTAGCACACATGTTGTTTGAATTGAAGTCCCCGAGGGAATAGCTTCTGTGAGATATGTACAGAGCCTTGCTTGCATTTATTAGTTCTCCAGACCGCAGTGAACACCAGGAGTAAACGCAAAGACGCTTCCACGCAACCTTTGCTTCTCCAGAGAAGGTTGAGCATCCGCAGCTTGCCGTACCTCAGAGTCAGCTATACCAAGTAAAGTGCACGCTTATCTCGTCAAAGGGGAGTCGATCTTGGAAATAATTGTTGTACAACAACGGTGGCTGTTCGCCATTTCCACTCTACTTATCCTTCGTGTGCGTGTTGTCCTAGCCGTTGTTCTCATCGGCTGCCTAATCGTTGTTGTCGCTGCCGGCCTGCCCCCTGTCATCTATCGTGTTGCTACTGCAAATGTTGGTGCCAAACATCCTCCTCCCTCGCTCTACGTCTGCGGCTGGAAATATTTTCGACCAGAAACGTCTGTGGACCGGAGTCAAGGCGTGGAAGGAGCTCACCGAAACCTGGCTGCTGACCCCCTTCACAGAGATCGATGCTAGCATCCTGGAGAAGCACGTGACCCTGTACCAGAGGACGTGCCACCAGGCCGTGAAGGGGCTGCCTTCCAACCCCGTCGCGAAGAGACTGAAGGTGAGCAGCCTCTTATCGTTCATGGTATCGGTTTTTTCACAAGCGTTTCTCACCACCCAGTCCCTACTCTGCTATTTCAAATGTTTTCTCGCACCCTACATCACACCCGAACCCCGCTCATTGAACTTGTTTCGAGGCGCCTACTGCTTTCAAGTCTTTTTTTTTGGCTGCCCTGATCGACGACAACTCAATGCGTACACCCCCAAAACAGGATGATGTGGACACCTTCAGCCCCGTCCTTCCAGTGGTAGTCAACCTCCGCAACCAGGGCCTCCAGGGAAGGCATTGGGACCAGATCCACGAGCTCATCGGCTTCGAGATCAAGGGAAGACCCGAGATAACGCTGGGCGAGCTCATCGACAAGAAGGTTCGCCTTGTCTCCTACAACCACGCTCCGTTTGAACACATAACACGATGAGTTTGCTAGGAAGCTAGGCTGCAGGACGATGGAGTCATCGTGGAAAAAGCGATTGCTTTTGTAGCCAACTAAAGGATTATTTTCATGATTCTGGGCTGTTTTTTTGCATTGCAACAGTTAAATTGGTTTTGGTCGTTTCGCCTGACGTAGTGTTTCTATTAGTTATTTGACGGAACGGTCAACAAAGTCCTTAATTCAATGGGTGGACGGATGTATTGCAGGTGACCGCCTTCCACGAGGAGATCACGAGCGTGGCCACCTCCGCGGTGCAGGAAGGCGTGCTGGAAGAGATGATGGAGAAGGTGTCGGCTATGTGGGCCAAGACAGAGTTTGAGGTCAGTGATTCGGTCTGTGCATATTTTTCGTTGGGAGCACTTTGTTCACTACTTACTCTCTCCAGCGCTGACTGTGAATGGCGTCTTTGTCCTTCGCTCTCGGCAAACCAGGAGCAATGATGACGAAACATCGAACGAAACATGTAGGCGAGACCAAATGTTTGTACGGAACTGGACCTGAACCCGCTCCTACGGGGTAGTTTTCTGACAACACATCGACTTACCTGCGTTTGCCAGGTTATGATCCTTCATTCTTTGGTTTGTCTAGATGAAGCGCCGCTCATTCTCGATGTACGTTCACCATATCACTCTTCGCTAAGTCCGCCTGGGCCCAGCCCCCGTTTGCTCGCTCGACCATTTGTAGCCTTTGGTACGGATACCGTTTTGTTTCATTTTCGGTCCCACCCTGCCGTGTGTGTCCACCATTTGGTCCATCAGGTGAAAAACTACAAGGAAATCAAGGACTTGTACATCCTGGGCGACACTTCGGAGGTAGTGGCGAACCTCGATGACTCCCTGGTTACCATCAACACGGTCCTGAGCAGCAGATACGTCGGCGGTATTCGGGGCATGGTGGACGAGTGGCGCGGCAAGCTGGTCACGCTTCAGGTAGGAACAACACGAACAAGTTTTCTTTCGGGAAGGACCACTATAGAACAACAACGGTTGGACCACACGATGGTTGGACTTTTCCAGTAGAAGAATATCGAGAATACACCGCTGATTCGATTCTTCGGAGCTACTTCTCGGACACAAGACTGTTTTATATCACGTACCATGACTTAAGGACACAGCACACGTCGAACCTCTGAGGTCGTTTTGGTGTTTAAATGGTCGAGGAATGATCGAAGGTACTGTGGGGGGATTGGAGGCGAGCGACCTAGCCAACGTATGGTCTCAACAGAGGACACGCATGGAAAGTTTCAGCCGTCCGAGAGTGAAGAAAGCTGTTGTTGTTGTTGTTGTTGTTGTTGTCGTTGTCGTCGTCGCCACCGTAATGTTACTAAATAGTTCTGGTGCAGATTGTTCCTCCTGTGGTCTAGTACCCGGTAAACCTCGGCGTGGGTCAAATGCCGGCATGACCCTGTGCGGGCAGCACTTGTTGACGACTAGCCGATACAACGGGCGACTGGGTAGACGACGGGGGAAAGAGGTGTGCTGGGCTATCGTGCATCTGAATCTAAGGGCACAAACCGCTTGGGTTCTCTTCAGCATGAAGCTCCCCAGTCGTTACAAGGCGAGACCATACGGTACGTAGGTGCTGCAGGCGACGGTACAAGTATATATATATTTAGATCTCGCCATGATATAAACACGCTTTCAGGAAACGCTGGACGAGTGGCAGGCCTGCCAGCGGACATGGATGTACCTCGAGTCCATATTCGGCTCGCCCGACATCGTCCGACAGCTCCCGGCCGCGGCCAAGATGTTCCAGGCGGTGGATAAGTCCTGGCGGCATATCATGGTCGCCACTGCGGACGAACCGTTGGCTATCAAGCAGGTGATGGTGATGGGTGCGAACAATGATCGGGAAATTAACTTTTTTAGTTCTTTTTTGTGAGACCGTTACCTCTCGTGTGTCCAGGCAAGTTTGTGGTTAATCTTCAACACTGCGAGCACATCATTCGCTACCATGCGGACCATTTTGTGTTCTAAAAAGGAGTTACTGTAGTCCGAGAGAGAGTTGCTCAGGATTGGCACTGAACAACAATGAACGGGGAGGAAAACCAATGTTCCGGGTAAAGGTTTGCGAATACCGTGGCAGAAGGGAAGGCCACGGTTACAGATGTAACGTATTTGAAGCAGTGCAGGACCACCAGGAGCACGCGTCAAACATGGAACGCGCACTCCTCCTGGCAAAATTGAGCCGGTGCCTAGGCGCGGTAGGATCTAATATCGTCTGCCGTACATTGCTGCCCAAACAATATCCGATCCGCATCCTGAACATCAAGACACCACAATACAGGAGGCGTTGTTTTAGTAATTCTTCGTCGATTGTCCCGGTGTCGATCAAGATATGGATTATTGTTTGATGGATAAAAACACAGGGCCTGGTGAAGGACCGCAAAGATACCTTCGCCTCGCACAACGCTGCGCTGGACAAGATACAGAAGAGTTTGGAGGAGTACCTCGAGACCAAGAGGGCCGCATTCCCAAGATTCTATTTCCTTTCCAACGACGAGCTGGTGAGTTGCTGCTGCTGCTGCTGCTCTCTTTACGAAGGATTGCCAAACTCTCTCGACTGCCTAGAAACATATTTCCCGTAATCCGTTTACGTCCAAACAGAGTCGGCTCCTCGTATCTTCCGGGAGCACCAGCATGTGCGTTATTTATCAAATGAGTTGGACAGGAGGGAGCAACACAAATCAAACGATTAAGCTCTCAGAATGACAAAATCCGGAAGCATTCCCCTGATTTGCATTTCCTTCGACTACTGAATCTATTCAAGAATTGCACAGATCATGTCCAGGAATCATGCGCTTCTTCGAACCAATGCGGTTTCTTGTATGTCGTTGGTAGCGACACACCGTTGGCCGCTTGTATGACAGAGTGAGCCCACCCGCCGCCGCTGTCGCGGTCACCACGCGCTCCTTCCCTCCCTCGACCGTGGTGCCACAACACCATGCATTTTCAGCTGGAAATCCTGTCGCAGGCAAAGGACCCTCAGGCGGTGCAGCCTCACCTAAGGAAATGCTTCGACAACCTCGTGGGACTGACTTTTGGAGACGAGCCAGGCTCGATCGACATCCATGCCATGATATCCTCGGAGGGGGAGAAGGTACCCCTTGGAAAAAACCTCAAGGCCAGGGGCTACGTCGAGGACTGGCTTAGCCAGGTATGTATCCTATTGTTTACTCTTTAGAGCCCTTCTCCGGCGGTGTCCTTTTTGTTGCATTTGCGGTTGTTCTCTTCGTTGTCTCGCGCGGATGATATCCCTGGTTTGCGTCCATGTTTGTTTTGTGTGTGTCGCGATAAGATACCCCGAGACTCAACCAGAACAGCCACATTATTTAGTGGGTTTTATGGCCTGTAGTACAACAGCAAAAGCTTCTCGGGGCCGTCTCTTCAACAGATTCTCAATATGATTGACATTATTCGTGAGTAGCTTCGGACGTCTGTTTGGGGCCCTCACCTAGGCGAATAACAAGCATTTGATTTTGAGGATATTTGCGTTATCTACGTACTGAACATGCTTCGAACGCGTCGAGATAATCCCGCCACGTTCAGATGGTTGACGAACGAAGTAGCAGATGTTTTCGGGCTTTGCAGGTCCCGGTGCATTCCATGCGTTTCCATGCTTCAGGCACCCTCTCGTTGGTATTTGCTTCTTCGGCATCATTGGCGTGATAGAGCTGCTTGGTCAAAGATATTAGTGCAAGACTCGTCCTGTTGTTGAATGTCACGTTTGGCGGTACTACCGCCGTGAGACTCGGGATGGGTTCACGGGACAGGATATCAACAAAGAAAAAGGAGAAAATTGAAGCCCGACGCCGTTTGATCCGATGCATAGTTTCGCACGGAGAAGATTTAGTTGGCACAGGGGTACTGGAAAACCCAAAACCACATACTTAAGAGACGGTTGTACCACTGTGTGTCCACCTCGAATCTTGTGGTACGTTGCAGTACGAACACACAAACTTTATACCACACGAGGGGGTGGCACTCGTTAGAAGCGACAGCGTAGATTCAATCACTGGGATGCCCCCGTTTTATTTTCCTTTACTTAAGGTTGAAGCGCGTATGAAGACGTCTCTCCATGGGTTCATGAAGGCCGGGCTGCTGGACTACGATACCAAGGCCCGAGAGCAATGGGTGGGCTGTCACCCTGGGCAGGTGAGACAGAACGTTTTCTGCCAAACTGTTGTGGATCACCGGTGAAAGCGCACACATGAACAACTCGCGGCATTTCTTCGCCAACAAAGACCTTGGTGTATTTTCTTTTGTAGCCGTGTACTCGTTTGAAAGTAAACCTGTTAGGTATTCGTGTTTTGATCTGTGACAAGCGTTTGTTTCTTTCCCTGTGACTATCCTCACTACAGGTGGTTGCGACCGTCGCGCAAATGACATGGGCTAGGGGCACAGAAAACGCTCTGCGCTCGGAGAACGCCGTCGCCGAAATGAAAGAGTGAGGCACGCTCGCTCATGGTTTGTCATCTGTGGTGCAACCGCGCCCTTTGCAACTGATTGAGCGTGCTACTGCACCACCTCGAAAGTACCAGTGCTTGTAGCTGTGTAGCTGATTTGCAGCCTGCAGCGATGAAATATCGTATCACGTATGTTCCAGTAGTTAGCAATGCCCTACACGATAAACATTCTCAAATCTTTGACACCACTCACTCCAAAGTCACTCTATTTTGACGTCATAACGGATAACCAGGTCTGTGTTATCAGCACGTTCTTGTCACAGTTTCGGTTGATCACATACCGCATCATGAGCCGGGCTACCCCGCGGGTGATAGCATGGCCTCTTGGAGGGTTTCCCCTGCCTCGCTGTTGACGTGGATACGCCGGGGTGTGTTCCCATCTTGGAGTCACGTCGTCACCATCACTTTCCCTGTTTGTATTGAGCCGAATTCACGGAGGGCTTCCTGGACGTGAGATGAACGAAATGAACATGATGTAAATGTCCTTTGCAGGAATCGGTTCATCATCGCCCAAAGTTTTGAGGCATACCTACATCCGGGGAAATCGCGGAAGTCACTAGCGAGAAGGGACGTAAATAGTGAGCAAACCGTACCGGACACTGACGTGAGTGAATTTTATTCATGATTTATTTGTTTTCTTTCACCACCTGATCCTCCTCAGGTGGTTTGACATCTACGTCATCGAGCTGACCAAGCTCATCGTGCGCATCCGTGGCAACCTGAGCAAGCTAGAGAGGAAGGTCATCGTAGCCCTGGTTACGACGGACGTGCACGCGAGAGATATCATTGATGAGCTTTACGAGAATAAGGTATGAGGTCTGCAGAAGACACAGCGGCTTGCAACCATCGGTGATGTTGTGAACATACCCTAATCTCCTTTCTTCCATTCACTTGGTTGGAGAGTTCTTACCGGCCGTGGCCGTAGAATTCGCAACTCATGACTGTCAGGGCCAGGATGTATGCTACCAAGTAGGTCCAACACGCCGCTCAACGGCAATCGGTGCCATAGGCGTGTGCACCTGCTCACTGCGTTGTGCAGCGGGCAGAGACACTGAAGAACGGGTACGGGTTGTTGGACGATTCTTAGGCTAGCGCATGAGCCACTGACGACGTACACGAGACATACATCAACGGGCTCTGAGGGATGCTTCAGGTTTATTTTCAACCCGATGGCTTGCCATATGCCTAAGCCTACGTAACGACGTCGCAAGTGTTGCGTGCCCGCTCCGGAAAAACACGGAAACACGCGCCAGGTCGACTCATTGCAGAATTTCACCTGGCAGCAGCAGCTACGGTACTACTGGGATATGGATCTGGACGACTGCCTGATTCGGCACTCGGACGCGAGAGTGCGATACGGTTACGAGTACATGGGTGCGACGAGGTGATGATCGTAACAATTGTGTATTGTTTCCTATGTGTTGGTGACCTTGGCAGCACGTATTAGGGGTCGTGCGCTGTCCTTCATGAAGGAAAACATGTATCTGCGGTTTCCAGCCGCCGGTTCAGGACTCTTCAATACCAGGCTACAATAGATCCCGCATTTTCTCCCGCCACGTGTAAGTAACAGTGAGAGAGACACGAATGATTCAATAATAGTCCTGTGGGAGTTGTTAGAAATATGCCCTCGCACACTCTTGGCGTACCCCAAAAGTTGTGCAAACGCTTGTCAAAAGAAGGACGATGCCTGGTACGGTTTCGTGTCACGACGTGGTCAGAGACAAATCTGGTGGGCCTGGTGAAACGCGTTGTCGGGAAGCTTGCCAATAAATGCTTTCCCCACAGAGAAGCATGACCGTTACGCTGTTTTCATCGTTTATTTTGCGTCTGCACGGCTGAGTCCAGCCGCCTGGTGATCACTCCCCTGACGGATCGATGTTGGCTCACGCTCACTGGATCGTACGAGCTCAAGCTGGGGGCGGCGCCCGCTGGCCCTGCGGGAACAGGAAAGACGGAGACCTCGAAGGATCTCGCAAAGGCGAGCCCCCTCAATTTCGTCATGCCGCTTGTCGCCAATTCTTCGCGTTGTGTTTGTTGTCAGTGGAAGAACGGTCGAAGCGCCGGGCTTCGGTGACATTCTATGCATTGCGGAGTCTTAGATGGCTTGACGTAAAGCAACTTTTGAAAAATGCTTCTGTGACAAAAAAATTCGAACGTTTTCTCACCCCCGTCGCCTGTTGCCCCCTCTCCATCGCTCTGTTGTTTCGCTGTTCCCCCCCGCCGGCATGCTCTCTCTCTGCATCAACGTTGCTCGTGAATTTCGCCTCTTCCCCCCACACCACCTTCAGGCAATAGGTATCCTGTGCGTGGTGTTCAACTGCTCGGATCAGATCGACTACAAGATGATGGGCAAGCTCTTCAGAGGCCTAGCGCAGGGGGGCTCATGGGTGTGCCTCGATGAGTTTAACCGGATCGATATCGAGGTGATTGCAGCTTCTCTCCCTTGCTCGCTAGCCAGCGAGCGGCCTGTTATTTGGAATGCTCGTCGTGACGTCGCGCCCGACGACCGCACCTGGGCATCCTGCCCACGTGGCTGCCAATACTCATCCACATTAGCCCTGAGAGAATGTCTTGACGGATCTCCCTGGCGACGTCCTCGTCGCATTCTTCTATTTTCGCACTGTACAGCTTTACCTTCCGCCCGCTACATCATCACATGTTCGTGATAACTTCAAGTGGAACATACACATCCGCTTGACGATGACTCCCAATGTCCCCTCCCATCTCAAGCAGCTCCATCATTTACGATGCATTTCAAGTGAGGGCTCCTCATATGTTATTCCACGTCTCGTGCTGTAGCGCATTGCCTCGCCTGCACCCTTTTACCACATCATGCTCTACCGTTCTTGTATCCGCTCCTCTCTACCTATTTGCAGGTGCTTTCGGTGATAGCCCAACAGCTTCTGGTCCTTCGTGAAGGGCGGTTGATGGGAAAGCCAGACATCAACTTCATGGGCGTCCAGATTGCCTTAAAGGACCACCACGTAATTATCACCATGAACCCTGGCTACGCGGGGCGAACCGAGCTGCCTGATAACCTAGCGGTGAGAGTACAGAAGGTGGAGTGCCGTATACCTGCTCTTAGCACGAAGGTATGGCAAGGAAATGCAGTGGTGTCTCGTATGCTGTGCTTCACACTTCGAAAGGAGAAACAGAAAACCAAACGTGACAGCAGTAGTGTGGGTACTGAGATTACCCTTGTTCTAGACTTGTTTGTGCCGGACCGCCCCATGCAGATGTCAGTGCTCAGCCTTTTCCAGGGTGTTCCTCAATGCAACACCAAACTACCGAACAACTCTCCCCCATGAACTACCAGCTCGTCGAACCCGTTTGCCCTGCCACATGCACTGAACACACGGCATAGGTGTGCTTCCGTCCCGTTGCGATGATGGTACCGAACTATGCTCTGATTGCCGAGATCATGCTCTTTGCCGAGGGCTTCGCCGACGCCAAGACTCTGTCCCGGAAGATGTGCAAGCTCTACATCTTGTGCTCCGAGCAGCTCAGTCAGCAGCCTCACTACGACTACGGCCTTCGGGTGAGGGAGCGGTCGGTGTGGCTACAATTGCAGACGCGGCGGCTACGGTCACCTGTTAGAGGAGAGAGGTAGATTGAAGCGCCGGCACGGGGACAAAACTCGTGTGATGGAGGCGAGGATAGTGGTGGCAGTGCTCCTGCCCGGCGCAGCTGACGTAGAAGAAGCTGCTTTGATACTCTTGTCAATATCTTCCAATCTCCGCGACTGTTGCGAATATCTCGTCACCCTGTTACCCCTGCTCATGACACAATGTCTCCTCATCTGCCGACTTCATGAACAAGTATGCCAACCTATGAAAAGGCTATCCGCATCGGAACGGTCAGATGCCGAGGACGCCAGATGCTGCGATCACACACGTTGCAATTTCTTGCACTGCCAAGACACCTCCTCTCTCTCACACGCAAGGCCTCGAACCACTATCGGTAAAATTTTGTGTCGTATCACGTGCGCTGTAGGCGGTGAAGTCGGTGTTGGTGATGGCGGGATCACTAAAGAGAGGCTACCCCGACGTCGACGAAGACTTGACCCTCATCCGCGCGCTGGTCGACTCCAACGTGCCCAAGTTCCTTGCGGACGACCTTCCCCTTTTCGCCGCAATCGTCAAGGTATGTGAATGTCGAAAAGACTCCAGGGGCCATACCTTTTGAGCACGTTTTCAGACCTGGCTTTGCTCTCGCTGTTGCTTGTCACAAGTGCTGTCTTACCTCACAAGCGTTAACGTTTCCCCGCTCTTTGCCACTGCCAATGAGACGAACACCAGCTATGTCTACTTCCCTTCTTATTTGATTATTTCACACACCCCACGTGCGCGACTTGTCACCTTCAACAGGATCTATTCCCCGGGCTGGAAGTACCTTCGAATGACTACGGGGAGTTCAGTGTTGCGCTTGAGGAGCAGCTCGACAAGCATGGCCTTCAGAAGGTATTCTCTATCTAGGTGCTACAGGTTGCCTGTCAAATACAAAGGACAACAACTGGTGTCGGTGCTTTACCATACACCAGGTTTGTCGATTTTCCCCCTGCGTCTCTAGTTGCGACGACTTGATATAGACAAAACGATAGCGGGATGACTTACTTAGGTGCTACAGGCGAAATGATGGCGGTGTGTTTCAAAACAAAAATGATGCAAGTCCGAAGCAGCTTGTGATCGAGTGCTCTCTGGGTCCGAGCGACAATTTTATGACGTTTCGCAAAAGGCTCGAACACTGGACAAGTTATGACGGCCGGAAAAACGCCATGGCCAAGGTTGCAGAACTCGATTACCCATTCGGCCGATCGAAAAAGCTCAAACGAACAAGGTTGGTGTTTCGCCCCAATGGATAACCACGGAATTGTTCTGCTCGAACCGAACACAAACTTGTTCATCGTGAAGGTGCCACTGTTCATGGGGAAGATCATCCAAATGTTCGACGTGTTCAACATCCGCTTTGGTGCGACACTTGTGGGTCCCACGGGAGCGGGCAAGACCACCTGCTACAGGATGCTAGCAGCCGTGATGACGGATCTAAGGAATAAGGGCTCCGTCAACCCAGAGTTCCAGGTGACAGTTTCATCGCCATTTTTCTTGGCATCTTGATGGTGTTGCTACAAGGTGTTGGTGTTGGTGTTGTTGCTCTTGTGGCATCGTTGTCTTCACTTTTAACGACCGTCCTGGGCACCAACTTCCTTGTTTTGTACCAACACTTGTTGCATAAGCTGTCGCTACCCCACCACGGGCAACATGCAACCAAGACGCGCAAGATCAACCGACTTGACCCTCCGACACCGTACATCGGCGATTGTTTCAGTTGCGCCAATTCCTTTACGCCCCCATAAACAGGTGGTCAAGTACGAGGTGCTGAACCCAAAGTGCATCACGATGGGAGAGCTCTACGGAGAGTTCAGCGAACTCACCCAGGAGTGGCACGACGGCCTCGCGTCCACCATCATGCGGAGAGCTGTGGCTGATGAAGGGGACCACAGGAGGTAACAGACTGGTCGATATGTAATTGGTTTCAGTGCTTTGGGGTACACCTTCGCAACTTGGTTTTTAGTAGCTTGTGGTTTCTTCCAGATTTCGCCGGAGAAGCACGTGCACAAGGGAGCACGTTTCAGTTTCTTGTCGTGCGTGGTTTGTAGGATGGATAGCTTTCCCAGCCTCTGCCGTAGCTTATTGGGTAGTGAACCCGAAACGTTTCGGGAGGTAGTTCGACAATATTTACCGGGCTTGACTCGCCGCAGGCTAGGGCTGCACACTTACATGGTGTGTTCCCGACTTGTTTGACAAAAAATCTAAAATGTTTCATGCGAGTACATCTGAAAGAAGCTGCTACAGAATGAGAAACTGTCTTCTGCGACAAGAAGAGCTGACATTTTTTTGTTTGCCGTTTTCCATGCCGTTGGTCTGCTCGCAACCACCACGCATGTTTGTTGTCCTTCTCGGGCAGATGGACGGTGTTCGACGGCCCTATCGACGCGCTGTGGATCGAGAACATGAACACCGTACTCGATGACAACATGACCCTCTGTCTTGCCAACGGCGAGCGCATCAAGCTCATGGTGCGCGTGGCTCCGTCGGCTTTGGTTATCTCACGCCTGTCAATGATCATTCGCCGCCAGTACCACCACACCTTGCTGTACTACCGTAGACCACCACGATCAACCGTCTCGCATCCAGTGTCACACGCACTCGCCTACGGTACGGCGATGGGACGAAAATCAGCCAACAGGAAGTCCTGAATATTGCCACGAGCAACTGAACCTTATTCTCTGGTGACGCAGTCTACTCGTACCCCGTGGACACGCTATGGTGGTTGGTTTACCAAACGATTTTCGGCACCATGAGCACGAACCCCTCGCATAACACGAAGCTACGCACACCACACGCCGTTGCCACACCGCGCCCTGAACGCGCCCAACACGCCCATCGCTAAATCCGCGCTACCTGCATACGGCGAACGCCAGATCGAGATGAAAATGCTCTTCGAAGTGATGGACCTTGCCGTGGCCTCACCCGCTACGGTTAGCCGCATCGGCGTGATTTACATGACGCCGTCCAACCTCGGATGGATGCCATACGTGCAGAGCTGGGTGAGAGTGCACCTGGACCCATTCACACTGATATTCTGCGTGGTATAACTGTTTTTTCAAAAGTCTTCGATAAATTTGTTCTCGACGTTCTGAACCAACGTTCCAAAGTCAGCGCTCCCTATCTATGTATGTGTGTGGTTCAGATAAGCTCCACATACTCCTCCCCCCCGCTCACCCTCGTACGTTTCTGTCGCCGATAAGCTGTGCGGACATCTCCAATCGTCATTGTATTCCGTGATCCTAACAGCTCCTTGAAAATATCCCTCGCTTCTTCCACCCCCCCTCTCTCTCTCCTCTACCTCCACGCAAAATACACGCATGCCCCCCTCCCCCCCGGCTGATGTTCTTGGAAGATTCCCACGGGTTTACCCGAGGGGTTCCCGGAGGTGGCGCGGCAGCACCTGCTGCACCTGTTCGAGGTGTGCGTGCAGAAGGGCCTCGATTTCCAGAGAAAGCGATGCAAGGAACCCGTCTCCTGCGTCGACATCCAGCTCGCCACTTCCTTGTCGTTTATCTTCCAGGTGAGTTAGGCTTGGTAAGGCATTTGAGAAGCGGGGGGGCTGCGTAGATGGCAAAGGGACAACTGTTAGAATGTATTCCCGCGTGGTTGTCGGAATAAGCGCGTGCTTCCGCCTCTTTTTCCGCTGAAGGGGCCCGGCTCCGCACTCAGCCTCAAAGCATGTTTTCATGGTAGACGAGGTTCGGCTCCGAAACGAGCTCCTTCACGCGGGGAATATGAGAGAGTGAAGGGGCGTGCGTGCGACAGGCCTCGATTGACAGAACGGCCGACCTATCTGTCTATCATCCATCCATCTATCTACGATCTTTCGCTCTAGTGATTCCGCGCGCCCGTGTCTCGCCGCGTACATGTCGCTGCTGCAGTCGTTAATCGTCAAGGCGGACTCCACCTTTTCACTCCCGGAGGCGGAGCTCAACGCTTTCGTGGACAAGTTGTTTGCCTTCAGCTACGTATGGTCCATTGCCGGGAGCGTTCAAGGGGAAGGGTGAGCATGTCGAGTCGTACCGGGTTTCGTGAGGTGATGAGCCGTTCAGGGTGGCGCATCTGTTTGTAGAAGCTGGTCCTGAACGGCAAAACGGATTTGGTTGAACGACTCTGATACCGTGGCGAGAAAAGGTCCGTCACGCGTGAAGCATCCATTGTTTCTTGGTTACTACAGATATGTTGAGATGCCGTTCGCATAGATTTGTTGTACAGAAAATAAGTTGTATGCACGAAGAGTATCCCGCCAGCCCGAAAAGACTGAATATCTATCGTAAGCAACAATAGCCAGCTCAAGTGTTCTGCGAATCACATCTAAATACATCCAACAGTATTGCCTTTTTTCTCCAAAACAAATAAATATTTTTTTGTTCCAAGATGGGAGAGAATGGAGGATTTCTGCCGGGAGCTGTTCGAGGCGGAGGGGCTCCAGCTCAAGGCCCCTCCTGCCCTAACCCTCTTCGAGGTCTACGTCGACCCGGTCGCAAAGGAGTTCCGACCCTGGAAGGATGTCGTGAAACCGTTCTCCTACGACCCCACCGCCTCGTACTTCGAGATGATGGTGCCGACGGTGGACACGACGAGGTTCAGCAACATTTTCAGCGCGTTAATCACACAGGTACAGCAGTAGGTGACGAAAGGCACAGACAGCTCGTGAGCGCTCCTTTCGGGGCCCGTTTTCACCCCTCTAGCGTTTAGTGTGTGGAGCCGGCATTGCGCGGACGATTGAAAGTGCTGTTTCGAGGAAGAATGAAGCGGTGCCGGCGACAAAACCCTTTCGTTTCCCTCAAGATGTACCTTACTTCCTCCTTCGTTTTTGACAGAACAAGCCTGTTTTCGTGACGGGGATGACGGGAACCGGTAAGACGGTGACGGTGCAGAACCTCTTGAGCACGCTGGAGCCCCCGCCGGAAGACGGCGGCCAGAACGTGGTGCCGATGACGGTTAATTTCTCGGCGCAGACGTCGTCCCTGGTCACTCAGGTATGAAGCCCAGCACAGCGCGAACGTCTACCGTAGGTATGGGCCATGCTCTGAAGAAACATGGCGTTTCAAACATGGCGTTTGCTCCGAATTTTATCACCTGCCATTCTGGCATGTGTCCTTTGTGCTCCAAATAATGGCATGTAGCGCTTATGCTCCTTCGGTCGGGTTTCGACGCTACGGACGACTCTGACTCCTGGTGTTTTCTCCGTCCGCGGTGTCTCTTTCTTGTACACAAACGCAACAACGCGATAGGCATGCAACGAATTTATTTGGCGGCCCTCTACCTTCAGGACGAACGTATACGGCCTCAGTATCGAGTATCTGGTCAATGCATACGCAAAAAACCGCTAGAAGAAGTTGAAAATTGCTTGTGAAGACGGGAATTTCTGCCCTCCCCCTTTTTTTCGGTGGCATATCATTATGCCGACAATTTCTGCGCCGCATATCCGACGTACCAGGCGTCCATCGAGGGGAAGCTGGAGAAGAAGCGGAAGAATCTTCTCGGTGCCCCTGCGGGAAAAAAGGTACAAAGATGCACGCAGCTTGTTGCTTGTTGGCTCGACCGAATAGATGGAGGTAATGAATAGGTTTTTGAAACGGCAGGAAACGACGACAACGGCATTCGCGATGAAGTGGCTACCGGTCGCAAAAAATGGCAACAGCAGCAGCAACACCAAACGAAAACTTGATTCAAGTATTTGCCGCTATCCCAACACGCCAAGAGGCAACTTCCTCCTATGTAAACCAGTAACCCGATTAGAACCTCTCCGTCGTATTTCCGCGGTAATGCTGATGCTTAAGACTAATGAACCGCTTCCGGGGCCATACGAAGGTAGAAGGCATCGCAACAAACCTTACCGGGACGGAATGTAATTGGTCTACATGTGTTTGGCTTGGGTGCGAAGTCCATCATTTCCGTGTTCTGAACGATGAAACTCCGAACGATCGAACATACACGGAATGTGGCGATCGTTAGTGGATGGCGTACAATGTCGTCTGGTCACTGCTTTTCGGTTGCCGCCATTGCAAACAAAGTGAGGGTAACAAACGAGCGAATGAACTGATTGAACGAACTGGACAGGTGGTGATTTTCGTGGACGATGTCAACATGCCCGTCGTGGAGGAGTACGGAGCACAGGCACCGATCGAGCTCCTCCGCCAGTTCCTTGACTTCAAGGTGCAGTGAACCGCAACAAAATCGAATCGTGGTTCATTTTTCAATATTGAAAGTAGAAAGCGGACCACACTCAACAATAGTAAACGCCCAATTAGCGTGCACACAGCGCACACACACTTTGCCAAACATGTGCACAGCGCGATAAACCTCAAACAACGCACACAGCCACCTACACGGCACGTACGTACACGAAACGAAACGCGCAGGGTTTCTACGACCGCGACAAGCTGTTCTGGAAGGAGATAGCGGACACGATGCTCATCACCGGGGCCGCCCCCCCCGGCGGAGGGCGCAGCGAAGTCACCCCGCGCTTCGTGCGGCATTTCAACGTGTTCTGCGTCCCTCAGGCCTCGACAACAGCCATGCAGCTGATATTTTCTTCCATGCTCAAGGTTTGGCTGAGGCGCTTGCGTGTGACATGAAGAGCAGACAAGTATTGGATCCTCACCCCACCTGATTTATTTCGCATGTTGAGCGGAAAAGTACGGGTTTGGCTGTACTTCTCGTGTGGGCGGCCTGACGCTTGTACGAAGCTGCAACATCACATGTTGCCTACACGCTCACGCTTTCTGCGTGGTTTCGTGGTTTCGTGCCAATCCTACTCCTCCTCTCAGGGCTTCCTCGGGGCCAAGTTCGACACAGAAATCAAGAATAGGGCCGATGGGATCGTCAATGCAACGATAGAGGTGTACGAGCGCATTTCGAGGGAGCTGCTGCCGACGCCTGCAAGGTTTGTCAACGCCCTGGCAGAAAAACAGTCGGAGAAGTAGAAACAAACCCGTTCGGTGTGTGTGCGTTGTTGTCTTCCGTGGATTTTCGTCATGAGGAAGAAGACTGAGAACGGGTCCAAGAATGGGTCCAGTTGCATGTTTTCGTAAAAAATACGCCCCGTCAGTATTGGAAATGCTACCTTCCACCACGTCAAACGCATGACGAAGTATGTACGCAACACCAGTACCTTTGCGCACCATGCCTAGTGCTTCTAGAACCAACGCCCCCCAGTGTGCACGTCGTAACAGCTCTAACGTACCGCCGCCTTGAACTGCATCTTCCAGGTTCCACTACACGTTCAACCTGCGAGACATATCTAAGGTGTTCCAGGGCTTCCTCATGATCACCGCACCCCGCTGCACTACCGTCGAGACGGCTGTGAGGTTATGGGCGCACGAGTGTTCGAGAGTGTTCTACGATCGTCTTATCAACCGGGAAGATCAGCAGTGGTTCGAGGACTTAGTTGTTGAGCTGCTTCCGCGGTATCTCAAGGTGAGTTAGATCGCTTGGAAACAACGGGGTTCAAGGGAAGCACGGTAGTTGAAGTACATGGTTGAAACGTCATTTTTACTATGCTCGCACCGTGTTGGATTCGCGATGTTGGTTCAAGAATAGGCGGCGAATTGGTTTGCAAGAATGAATGTGATAATCGGCAATGGTACCCGTAGAGTGGCCCGCAGTCGTAAATATTCCGCTCTGAAGAATGTGATGGGTCCAGAGACACGGATCCGGCCTACATCTCAAAGCAGTGGTTGTTCTCTCCACGTGACTGGAAGGAGCTGCGCATGTACTAGAGCGCATTCCTGCTGAATGGCGTTGTGTAGGATAGACTCCAACGACTTCTGCCACCACCGAACTGGTTGGTACCAAGCTATCCAGGCTGACCTACTCTCATGCTTGCTTTCACTCCCAAACATCCGTTCGTTTTGCCCTTCGAACACACCCAGCCGACCAATCGTATAGTGGATCTATCGATGACATTCCAGTTAACTCTTGACGTCGTACTGCTGATGTCCTTAGGTGTCATGGTCGAAAGAGGATATTTTCGACGAGGGCTCTCCGCTCATCTTCTGCGACTTCCTCAAGCCCGGCGCTGAGAAACGGTTATACGAGGAATCCAGAGACATGGGGAAAATGCAGCAGGCATGCACGAGATTTATTGACCGAACCAGCATGTGCTGCGATATGTGTGTGGGGGACGTTTTATCATGCGTGACACGTCGGGGTCTTTTCTCTACGAACGATGGCGAGGCCAAACATATGGACTGCAAAATATACGTGTCACGGCGCGATATGTGTCCACAAGCGCTCTATCTACATCGTGCATTCTATTTACCTCCGAGGTGTTAACATGCGATGACCGTATTCCGAGGCAGCATCGACCACCACTTGGAATCAACGTAAAGACAATTGTCTCCCAGGCCGAGGACAATATAATGGTTAGGCCAGTCCAAGGCTATCTCAATCGCCAACCACCCTAAAAAGTCATTCGTGTTACAAGTGCATCCTACTGCTTTCACCCCCCACACCCAACGAACCCGCGCGCTCGACGGTACCACGAACTAATCGAAACCTTGCCGTGTTTTGGACACAAACAACAGATACTGAACGACAGCTTGGACGAGTACAACGTGACCTTCGCGAACCAGATGAACATCGTCTTCTTCGCCGACGCCGTGGTGCACGTGACGAGGATCGGCCGCGTCCTGAGGCAGCCCCGCGGTAACGCCATGCTCGTCGGGGTGGGCGGCAGCGGTAAGCAGAGCCTGACCAGGGTCGCTTCCTTCGTGGCCGGGTACGAGTGCGTGCAGATCGAGATCAACCGGGGGTACGGCCTCATGGAGTTCCGCGAGGACATTAAGAAACTCATGGTGAGCGTTCGTGCCGCGCCGCGTGGAGGCCCTGTTTTATTTAGCAAGGGGTTGGAGGATCGCGGCGGTGGTGGTCGCAGCTTTACTCACGTCGTCGCAGACATATCATTCTCTTGCTCTCTCCCTCAGCCGATTCGGGCCGATCGATTTTGTTTGCGAAACCCTCTGAATCAGTGCCAATTATTAAGTGCACCGCTGAGATGTGGATTTATCATCCGAGCGCTGCACGTGTCGGGATGTATATTGCCCATTGAGCGTTGGCTATTCTGCCAGGCGGAACGTTCCAACGAGAACGCACCCCCGACAGTGATGGCAGCCGAGGGCGAGCGTTTTCAAAACCACCAGAAAGTGGGAAGTCAACAGATGCGCTCACAGCCGGACGTTTCACAACAAAGGAGACCCAATGACGAATACAGAAGGCGAAAAAGATACTAGATTTTCAGGGGCCATGATTTCTTTTCGACAGCTTCGCATCCGACACTCTGTACGAAAAAGGCACATGTAGTACCCTTGGGGGGGCTACGTCCTCCGAGTAATTGAGTGAAAAGAGGTGCCAGTCGAACTAGCATCCTTGCACTATACGAAATCAATGCCAAATTTCTCCAGCCAGTTTGAAACTGACCCCGACCGTACCGAAGCGTCCGACTCAACCAGTCACCGACAGTGACGCATGAATTGCGCAAATAAGATACTGTAAGAGTCGGGGAGTTGGCACGGGCCGGAGAGATGGCACCGGTCGGAGAGATGGTACCGGGGTGCGATAAACCCCCCGAGAAAATAACGTTTACTTGGATTTACGCACCGGGGTCGGTGAGATCGCATTCGGTGCGATCTCTCCGACCCCCAAATCCAAGATTGAATCGCTTTCAGCTGCCGGAATGAGGTGCATGTGCGTACCTTTTACACGTGGGGACGGAGTCAGCGGAGCGCCACTCCTTTACATATGATTGGATGATCGCGGTTCACGCGGGATGCCAGTTGTTTTCATATTTTTATTGGTATGGACGTTGCGATGCACTCAACCAAACACATAACGTACAAGCCGCACCCTACCCCACCTTACACAACCTGAAGCTATTGTACTTCTGCGTACGTACTGGTATCCGTTGAAGAAGACCGAAGCGAAAGCGGGAACCAATTGATACCGTGTGCACTGGTTCCAACTCAGATGCGCTATTTCGCCGCTTATTTCGGGGTACAGTCGTGGCTCCGTTATAAGAGGGTGGTGTGACAGGGGCTCTCCACCCTCTTGTATCGGAGCCCCCTCTTGTATCGGTATAAGAGGGTTACCCTCTTGTATGAGGGTACTCCAAAGTAGGGTACCCTCTTATAAAGGGAAAATCGGGAAATCTCGAGCAACAAAGGCACTTTGACTACGGCACAGCGTACCAATGCCGTGTGGGTTGTGTAGCGTGGTGGAGTGTACGCACGTGTGGTGGGCTGATTGCCCGAATTCACACGCCCAAAGCAAGCCGGGTGATTGTGATCGTATCGGCAACGCTTTCCAACGCTTTCCGTGTTGTATTTAGTTCATGGAGTGGAAACATCTCCAGAGAATAATTGACTCGCAGCCAAGTTGACGCAGCCATTTCACTAGAAGGTAAAGTGCATGTTCATGCATGCATTTAAAACGCATAGTCTACAGAGTTAACGACATGTTAGAATTCCTGGACACATGAGAAACTTCATGTACACACGGTATGAGTGAGTGTTGTATTGCACCAACAAACGGTCTATCTACCTCCCCCTGGCCCCTGGCGCACACCAACATACACACATTGCCCACATATATCTAGATGAGAACTTAACTGTCTGCGCTGCAGGTGTTCAACCGTATGCTAAAGGCGTATGCTAAAGGAACGAAATTCTACCCTAGCACAAACAGCCCCCTGCTTCTCTTAGCGCCGTGACGTGTGTGTTCGTGTGTGTTTTATTGTACCTTTATTATTTGCATCGACCGCGCTAACCAGCTAACCAATGAAAACACGTCAGTGTCAGTGCGGCTAACACAGAAAGTGCTTCGAAAGGCCAAGGTCTGTGACCCCATGAGGGGGTGCAATGGTGGGGGCTAAGCTACTCTCCAGATTAAAGATATACGGTAGCAATAAAAGAGAGGAGAGCTGCACGTGTTTACCCAAGGCTACTACTTTGCACATGTGTTCGTTTCGAAGTGCTTTCATCATCTTTGCACCATCCTCCTTGCATTTGCCACCAGTTTCACCAAAACACCACTATTCCTTGGCAGCTCCTCTCTATTTTATACTTCCTGCGGCGTCTGTTGTGAGGAAGGTGCGTTTGTTTGTGAGTGAAAGGTGACAGTCCCTAACTTACAAGCCCCCTTATAGTGCGGTAACCCCCTCTATAGTGGGGTGACCCCACTATAAAGGGTCCGGGCTCTACAAGAGGATAACCCTACTATACCGAGTCGAGTCCGTGACAACCGATTCGACCCTCTTATATCGGAGCCCCCTCTTGTAAGGCCCCTCTTATAACGGAGCCACGGCCGTATGTGGTATGTGTATTTCGCCGCCTTTTTTTCCGGCTCAAATGTATATAATATGCGTGTGTGTGCAGAAGACCGTGTGCGTGCGTGGGTACCTACATTCAGTACCGATCAATACTGTGGCAACGGTCAGGGAGATGGCACCGGGGTGCGTGCATACAACACCTGTGTGCATTTCATCGGGGATCGCACCGGTCGGAGAGATCGCACCGGGGTGCCTTGAAAATTCTAAACGAAATGATTTAGTTGCATTTCCGCACCGGGGTCGGAGAGATGGCACCGGGGTGCGATAAAAAACCCGAGGAAAAAACATTTAAGAAAACGATCGCACCCGGTGCCAACTCTCCGACTCTTACGGTACGCCGCAAACTCTGCGCACCACCCTCTCCCTCGCCGCGTGACCGTACTTGATGTCCGAACGAAACCGTGCTTCTTCAGATCAAGACGGGCGTGGAGGGTAAGAACGTGGCCTTCCTCTTCACCGACACCCAGATCGTGGTGGAGACCATGCTGGAGGACCTCAATAACGTGCTCAACTCGGGCGAGATTCCGAACCTCTTCCCGCAGGACGAGCAGGTGTGTGGTCGTTCTGGGCAAGCGCGAAAACATGCTGACCAATCTCCGAGGTATTTCATGGAATCCAACCGATCACATGGTCTCCGAACAAACGCTTCGCAATTCATCGTACTTTCGTTCTTGCTTTTTGCACGGAACCTCCTAGTGCAGAGCGCTGAGGGTCGACAAAATCATCACGAGCAAGCAGCTGCATGCTTTGAAAATCTGAGTTGCTCCTCCGTAGCAGGCAGATCTGTCCGAATAAATTCACAATTAGACTACCTTTCCTTTCATTCCCATGAATCTGCCACTCCCAAACAGGATAAAGTCGCGGCCGACATGATTCCCGTTTGCAAAGAGCTCGGTATCTCGGAGGCCCGCGACACCTGCCTCGCCACCTTCGTCACCCGCGTGCGGGAGAATCTCCACGTTGTGCTTTGCGTGTCCCCCGTGGGAGATGCTCTTCGGGTCCGCTGCCGCAACTTCCCCTCCCTCATCAACTGCACCACCATCGACTGGTTCTTCCCGTGGCCGGAGGCGGCCCTCGTCAGCGTGGCCGAGAGGTTTATCGAGGGCGTTCCCCTCCCTTCCGACGAGGTGAGAAGTTGTGGGCTGCCCGCGTGCGCCCCTCCCATTTAGTGAAACCTCCTTCGTGTATCCGGACCCCCAATCCTAGAATACGTGTTCCACGTGTTTCATCCAGCTGCCAAGACTGACATCTTTTCATTGGTGCGCGGGTTAGAACCGTCGATACTGAACAAAGAAAACACACCGGAGGTCCCCCTGTTTGTTTTTACATGGAAGCGGTAAACAGGATGGTGGCTCGGCTTGGGGGAGCGGTAACGAGTATCTCCGTAACTAACGGACGTGAGATTTTGCGGGGTGCGGATGATCTTGGGGAGTAGAGTGTGCTTATCTCCAACAGAAACACGCTCGGGCTTAGTGCCTGGTAATTGGCGCGTGCAACGGCGACACCCTCACGCGGGGTACGGTTTTGTAGGCGACGTGCTGAATTTCCGGCGCGGCGGACTACGTGAACGGGCGCACGTGATTTGACCGTTTTTCCCTTGAGGCATAGGGCAGGTTTCTACACCTTACTTTTCGTGCTGTTTTTCCGGTGTTTGTTCACAAGGTACGCGCCGGGTTGATCCGCATGTGCGGGGTGGTTCACACGTCCATCAAGGTCTTCGCCGACAAGTTCTATGATGAGCTCGTTCGACGGGTGTACACCACGCCCAAGTCGTACCTCGACCTCATCAACAGCTATACCGCCAAGCTGGGCGTGCTTCAGGGTGCCGTGGAAACCAAGGCCCAACAGATGGAGGTGCGTGTGTGTCGTGTTCCATGTCGTACCGAGTGAGCATGCATATCACTGACGATAGTGCTACTGTCCCGATAATGCATTGACGTACAGCAAATGACTTACTGATACAAGTGGGTGTGCCATGCAACAGATAGTCGGAGAACTCTCACTTTCTTGGCTGTGATGCTCGGTTTAATTCCGCCTTCCCCACGTCCTGTAAACTCGGAAAAAAAATTTCGTTGCTTTTTGTGAGCTTAATCAGCCGTTTTTTTTTAGCTTCGTTGGCGCCCCGAGAATGTACGTAGACATGAATAGAGTCGACAACGCGATCCAAGATCAACTAGGCCCACAATTTTCATATTTTACAAAGCGTGGACGGGCGGATCGGTTAATTTTGTTTCTGATGAAGCTTTTATTTTGTCCGCTGAATCCAACGACCACCAAACACATCGAGACAAGGTCGGCGTGACCAAGTTAAACGAGACGAACGCGATGGTGGAGGGGCTCAAGGGAGACCTGACCAAGCTGGAGCCTGTCCTCGAGCAGGCCTCCAAAGACGCCGAGAAATTGCTCAAGCAAGTCGAGATCGACAAGGCCGATGCCGCCAAAGTCAAAGACAAGGTGACTTCGGGTATACAAGACAGCGGACTACTGTCGGGTTTGCTAGAATCGAACGCCTACTAAAGGCCACCAATGTTCGCGACCCAAATTCAGAACAAGTTCTGCGATCCTTCAATGCTCCCGAAATGTTGACGCAGTTGCTTGCTTACGCACACAGACGGTGCGATCAAATTCCTTCCACAACGAACTGCTACACGGTCAAATGCAATCGTTCATCTGATAATAATCTCCTGGAAGGACCTTTTCCAGGGTACGCGCATGTCGTCGGCTGTATGGGGGGTGTACAAATATTGATGGTTAATCAATCCCAGGGTGTTTCAGGTTGTGACAGCACACACCATGAACGAACCCTCACTCTTCCAACCCTCCCCTCCCCGACCAAACAAGGTGGGCAAAGAAGAAGCGGAGGTGGGAATCCAAGCCGCCGAGGTGAAGGCGGTCCAGGCAGACGCGCAGGCCGACCTCGACGTGGCCCTCCCCGCGCTAGAGGCGGCCCTCAAGGCGCTAGACAGCCTAACCAAGAACGACATCACGGAGGTCAAAGGGTTCGCCAAGCCACCCCCGGCGGTGCAGATCGTCATGGAGGCGGTATGCATCTTGCTCGAGGTGGGAGATGAGAAGCTCATGACCGAGGCACAGCTCTTGTTCGCGAGAATGAACATGTTACCTACAGCCGTGTTCCTTTCTGTTTTGATCGGCTAGTGTGCGACTTATCGAGTGTATTCGACAACGTGTACAAACTATTGTGTCTACATTTTTGTTGCTGGCAGCCTTCCGAAAGTGGGGTTGAATCAGCCAAAATCAAACGTAGAACGATGTCGCACAAAAGCACCGTTGATATCTAGGACTCCAATCTAACTGGTACCACGAATGTTTCCGTTCATATCTCCCTGTCGATTCACGGATTCTATGACACCACTTGACCGGATCAAACAACAACGTCGTCATCGCAACCACTTGGCAAATCAGTCCAAGACGGACTGGGATTCGGCGAAGAAAGTCCTGGCAGATACCAGCTTCATGGACAAGCTCAAGAACTACGACAAGGTGATTTCCCAAGCCATTCAACCTTGCTTGACATGTCTCGTTGCCGCTTTTACTCTCAGTTTTTTCCAGTTTGCGCAGGGGCAGGGGGATAGGGGGCCAGGAGGGCAAGGGCAAGTAGGATATGGTGCGGATCGATGGGATTAGATTGTTCACCAACACAAGACACAGGTCTTCATTTTTCAATAGCTTGAGTGAGAGGGCTGCCTGAGCTTGTACGGTTGACGTCATACAGGTTAACAGCGAGCGCGAAATGACCAACGAGGAGCCCTCCCAGCACGTGAATATCTGTGCGCCACAAATCGTATCCGTAATCCCGACAACGTTAGGACAACATCAGCCCGACGATACTGAAGAAGATCAAGCCGTACGTGGAAAATCCCAACATGGCGATCGACGTGGTCACCAAGGTGTCAAAGGCTGCCTCAGGGCTGTGCATGTTCGTCCACGCCATGGACGTGTACTCCAAGGTACGAAGTTGCTCGAAGCGAAGGTGAATGAACAAAACCCACGCCCTTACCCCAGATACCACACCACACGATTGTGGTTCTTGATTCGGTCATGCCTCTACTTTTCTCAACAAGTTTGCATCTTTGCTGGTCGCGAATTTCGATTTGAGTTTTGTGATGAAGCCTCTTTGTCGCTCACCGACATAGACGAGGTTCCACGACGTCCTCGCGTGTCGTGTCCAGGCTAAACCTTGAGGCCAACTCCAGCTCTCGCGAATCCTCTCTCTGCCCAACCCTTTGCTCGGCCCATCTTTCTCACGGCGGCAGGTTGCGAAGGTCGTAGCTCCCAAGAAGGCCAAGCTGGAGGAGATGAACAGCTTGCTGGCTGCTGCGAATGCCACCCTGGCGATCAAGCAGGTATGCGTCCATTGGGGCCTGTGTCTTGTCGTTGTGGCCGTCTCAGCAAGTCTGCACGTTTCGTCGTGCACTACCCCATGTAACGTATATTTTCACGCCGTTTCGGGCTGCGCGGCTTTCACGGAGATGGGACGGCGACCAGAAGCAGGCCCCGCTTCTCGCCGTGGCTTTCCACATTCACTGCCCCATCTGTTAGTAAACTTTGCTTCTGCGATCACGCCTACTTTCTGTTCCCACCAGAACTCAAGTTTTTTGGGATGGTTGCCGCAGAACAAACGATGCAACCCGCTTCCCCAACGCTTGCTTTCTTGGAGGGTGGTCCTTCCACCAATCTTTTCCTATCTACACGACTTCACGTTTTTTTTCCGGTTCCAATCACCACACCAAACTTTACAATAGGCGGAGCTGAAAGAAGTCAACGACAAGGTCGAGGCCCTGGAGGCGCAGTGTGCCGCAACCGTGGGCGAGAAGAAGCGCCTCGCCGACGAGGCCGAGACCACCGCCAACAGGCTGGTGCGAGCGGAGAAGCTGACCTCCGGCCTTGCGTCCGAGGGCGTGCGGTGGCTGGAGTCCCTCGAGAACCTGGGCAAACAGAAGGTGGGCCGAGTTGATAAACAAAGCAGGACTCGACACCATATTCTGCCCGGGCCACGCGAACAGGGAGGGGGGGGGGGGGTACTCATAGCCGTGCATGCCGTAGTCGTTAGACCAATAACCTCGCATCCCTACGAAGCCGGGACGGTTCTCACCGGACCAGGCTCTCACATCACCAAGCGCGAAGCGCCGTGAGGTATTCGGCGAGTCGCATGAAGGGTGCGGTGCATCCTGCTAAGGGTGTTCGGCATCTTGTGCTTACTTCCTCGCGTACGGATGACAGCTGCGTATGATTTAGTTTAGTTTCTGGTGCGTTCATTTCCAGAGACAGTTGTAAGCACTGTATAACTGCCTCGAGGGTGCTTGACCAATTTAACACAACGTGGTGCAATTATCCCCTGTGCGCGGAGTGAGGGTTCTCGACCCCGCACAACGGGAGGGTGGGGGGGTTGGAACAATATCATGGTGGGGGTTTTCGTGTTCGTACAGCAACTAAGTGGATTCGGGGTGCCTTTGGCGGGCACGAACACCTCGACAGAAGAGTCTTGGGTTTCCTGGGAACTCCTATCCCGGAGAAATCCAAACCCTCAGTCAAATAGGCTCCTGCTGTAGAAAGCACGACTGCATCCTTTGCCTTGGTGTGCGTTCCTACTGCCGTACCAGTGTTTTTCAGTTCTCTTTTGTACAGTAGTGGCCACACATGGTGTTTGACCGAGTACGTTCAAACTTCTATACGTGTTGACCTATTTCCAATAAAGCGATAGCACAAGAGGAACAAGGTACAGACCTGAGTGGACTCCCAAACTGGAGACAAAAGCGTGGATTGGCGAACTCACCCATCCTTACATTATTCCGCAAAACGGTATTTGCAAGCTTTCCCACTCCCTCGCAAACGCCGGAACACCGCCCCCACGACATCGATGACGACGCCCGACGACGAACGAGAACAGGTGGACCTTATCGGCGACGCGTTCTTGTCCTGCGGGTGTCTGTCGTACTACGGCCCCTTCACAGGGGGCTACCGCGACGACCTCGTGGCGACTTGGATGAAGAGGGTGAAGCAAGAAGGCATCCCTTGTAGTGGTGGGGGCGACAGTGCCGGAGGAGACGGGGACGATGAAACTGGTGATGGTGGTGGTGGCGGTGGTGGCGGTGGGTTCTCTCTGATTGGGACGCTGGGGGACCCGGTGGAGATTCGGGGGTGGCAGAACTGTGCTCTCCCGACGGATAAGGTGATTGCAAAATGTCAGGGGGGACGAGTACAGGCACTTTGTCGTGTTTCCGTGCAACCTGTAGGCGCTTTTGTCAACCCCCCGCTGGCACCCGCCGTGTTCATGGTCTTACCCACAATCCAAGAGGAAAAACGATAGGCTAACGTTCTGATGGAATACGAAACGAGATCAGACCGCCCCCCACGCTACAGACGTGCTTGTGACGGGGATTGTCCCTCGCTTTTGTGAGGCGCATTGCGCTGCTCGATGCTCCCTCCGTTCCGCCAGTCTCAGCATTGCAAGGACTCGTTGGTCTATGGCCTGGTGACAACGTAGACAATGAATTCGCATGTGCACGGCGTCTCAAAAACATTAAAACGGCTGGCATTATTTTCCGCGTCTCAGGTGTCCACGGACTCGGCTATTTTAGTCGCAAAGGGGACGAGATGGCCCCTGATGATAGACCCGCAGGGACAAGCCAACAAGTGGATAAAAAAAATGCACGAGGGGGATGACATCGAGGTAAGCGTTCTTCTGTTTCATCTCGTCATCATGATCCTCTAGATTTTTTTCTGTTTCTCTTATTTGATTGGTCATGAGCATACAACTAGATCACAAACATGGAGAAAACAATGGAATCAAGTGATGTTTCAATTCTCGAAGTTTCCTTTTCTTTTTGTTGCAGTTGCAAACTATTCGTGTGCCGGAACACCGATACCGCCTTGACTGTACACCCCGCCCCTACAGCCACAGCTATGCACTCGCGAACCCCGCCAGCTGAGTTCGTGCCGAACGCCGAACCCCCCATGCCATGCCATGCACATCTGTGGTGACGACGACCCAGGTGACCACAATGACCAATGCCAAGCTGCTGCGGTCCCTGGAGAACTGCATTAGGGTCGGTCGGCCTCTCCTGATCGAGGACATCACGGAGCACATAGAGCCCGCGCTCGAGCCTGTCCTTCAGAAGGCGACCTTCAAGTGAGGAGAAGAAACACATGACGCGAGAACGCACCGATGCATAAACTTACTTAAAGCCTGTTCTGTAGATGTGGCTGAGACATGTAGAACAGACAACCTGCTGCCTGCGCGAGGCAAGGATAATTCTTCAAAGACAAGCACTGGTGTGTACGGACCCCCGACAAACACGGCAGCCCTGATTGCGCCCGATCCCCCCCAGCCCATACGGACCGTGCCCCGATCACCCATGTCTCTCTCTCCCTTTCCTTTGCTTCCTTTACGCTCCGACACATGAGAAATTTCACCCCGGGCCTCGCCATGCCCCCAAATTGCATCCAAACACAACGCAGGCAAGGAAACCGGACTCTCATCAGGATCGGCGACTCGGACGTGGACTACGCCGACTCTTTCAAGATGTATCTCACAACCAAGATGCCCAACCCACACTACCTCCCCGAGGTGTGCATCAAGGTCAACATTATCAACTTCACCGTCACCATGGAGGGCTTAGAGGACCAGCTGCTAGGACAGGCAAGACACGTCGCGGGACAACCAACTTGTAGCACACCTTTGGCCATGAGGAGAAGGTGCCGCCGGGCGAAGCGGCACTGAACGCATAGATGGGTCACCCCCTGTACGAAGCTCAATCGGGTCGAAAACGACGCCACTCGTCGAAGAGTCACACTTACTCCTGTAAAAAAAACGCCATACACGGTTGCAGTATATTTGACTCTAACACCGTTGGTCTCTTGCACACACTCCAGCTCAGACTTTACTCCAATATGCATCAGGCAAGGCTACCCCCACTCAATTGTGTGTGCACCATACCGTACCTAGATTGCCCTGTGAAGTCTCTGTCCCTTGCGGGTGACGAGCAGATCTGCGGGATGCATCCTCGAGCGTTGTCGTTGTCTGTTTCTGTTGTCTTCGCCTTTCTGAACTATGTCAAGGTCCTCTTGTTCCGTAGTCTCAAGGCAAACAAACACAACCTTGAAAACCAAATCCTGACTCGAAGTATGGGGCTTGGACTCGCCTGTCGCTACGGTAGTGGGAAGAATGGCCTGGACCACTACACATGTCCTTGTTGTAGCTGAACTCTCCAAACCGTGCAAGAAACCAAACCTGAGACCAACACAACCTTTAGGAAGCCAAATTACCCGCTCTGCATGTCATTGTGGCACGGGAAGTATATTACAAAGAAGGCATGACGCCCACCTCTTCCCCAACCACAACAACACGACCATCGGCGGTGGATACGGATCTCGCGGTGTGCTGTACCTTCGATTGCCCAAACACCATCGAAAACAACAGGTCGTCGCGAAAGAGCGGCCGGACATCGAGAAGCGCAAGACTCAGCTCCTGCTGAGAATGGCCGAAGACAAGAAGCAGCTCTCGGACCTGGAGGCCCGGATCCTCCATCTCTTGTCCAACTCCTCCGGAAACATCCTTGACGACGAGGTGAGCGTTTTTCAGTTCGTTTCTCCATAGAAAGAAACCGATCGCCTTACGATATTCACTCGTGCCACCGCCGTGCAATAGGAATACACGGAACACTTCTTACTCGCGTACTACACCAAAAAAGTGATACCTTTGCTTCAAAGCTCACACGAGACAACATTTGCAGTGGTTGCGACGCGTCTGGCTCCCGCACGGCCTTGATCCGAAATGTAGGGCACAGCTTGAACGTCAAGCGCAATCCACGTGTTTCGAGCAATGCTTCCGGTCCACACTTGTTGCTGCGGTTGTACAGACAGCGGCATTCCTCGTTCCGATAGCTTATATTGGATTGTGCATGTGCTCGATTCTGGTTCCTTCTGCAGGTCCTGATCAACACCCTGGCGGACTCTAAGACAACCTCCAGTATCATCAAGGAACGAGTGGAGGAGAGCGAGAAGACGGAGATCGAGATCGATCTCGCGCGGAAGAAGTACACACCGGTCGCCACGCGAGGATCGATCATCTACTTCGTCATCGCTGACCTCTCCGGCATCGACCCGATGTACCAGTACTCGCTCCAGTACTATCAGACACTCTTCGACAGGTGGGAGCAACGCGGTGTTGTTGTTGTTGTTGTTGTTGTTGTTGGTGGTGGTGGTGATGCTACTGTCGTAAAGTTTGTCGTTGGTGTTGAAAAGAACTTCCCCCCAATCCATAAGACCGGTCTTTCAGATGCTGTTCATGATCATGGCGGCATGTGCTCACCTTGAACTTTGAATTCAGAGAGTATGTGTTCAACTGACTGTGATCAAACCCAAGTTACCCGACAAGCATAGGCTTAGAAAAAGCCGAGATACTGTTATGTGAAGGCAAGGCATTGTCGTTTTCTCCTTTGATTCATATGTTTCGTCAAGGATACTCGTTGATCCCCGGCTATACCACGTATTGTGGATATCGAGCGCGATCCTTAAGCATGTTCGTCCTCAACGTACAGCTGAAAACGCGAGTACGCGGCGCTTGAACATTGTACCGAAGCAGATCGCCCCGTCACCTAACGTGTTGTCCAACGGCCCCTTACTGCACTGGCGCACGCCTTACCCCGCTGCTCGCCTCTCGCTGGATTGGTGGCTTCGTTCCTATCTTTGCTTGCCGTCCCGGTGTGAAGGTGCATCGACGGAGCGGAGAAAGACTCCGACCTCGGTCGAAGACTCGCCAACCTAGTGTCGTATTCTACGCGCGTCATTTACGGGTGAGAGAAAGCGCTTTTGAATGTTGAGAAAACCATATCCTGCGCTAGCAAGCAACGTGCTAGAAGCTTCTTGAACATCCGCATTGCTTCCCGTCTCCTTTCTTCGAACGGTTCGGGCTTCCCGCTCTCTGCTTCTTGCCACGACGAAAAACTGTGGTCAACGACGCAATCATTCGTCATCTCTACACATCGTGCCACTCACTACAGTACACACAATACACGGCTTCCCTTCTTCTCTCCGGTTCTCCACCTTGACGGCAACCCACACCCCAGGAATATCTGCCGCGGTTTGTTCGAAAGGCATAAGCTGCTCTTCAGCGCGCTCATCTGCTTCCAGATCCTCCGACATCGTTCCGAGATACCCCGGGAGGAGTGGGCGCTGTTCCTGCGCGGACCTGGGCCCGTGGACCGGTCCGCGCAGCCCCCGAACCCGAACCCGGCCCGGTTGACGCCCGTACAGTGGGATCTTCTGTTCGCCGCGGAGCAGCGCGCCGTGGGGGGCGGTGGCCACTCCAACGAAAGTGGGGGTGGGCAGGAGGAGGAAGGAGATGAAGGCGTTGATGGTGCTGCATGTTCGCCGCTGGAGGGTCTTTGCGAGAGCTTGACGGAAAGTTGGGAGGCCTGGGTTTCCTGGGCGGACAAGGGGGACGTCTGGGACGAGTCGCGGATCCCCGGCGGGTTTTTCGGGAAAGGGAAGGGGGGGGAAGGGGCGAGCTCGTTCCAGAAGTTGCTGCTCGTCAAGGCGTTTCGAGAGGACCAGCTGCTGCGGTGCATCGCCAAGTTCGTCGGGGAGAAACTCGGCAGCAGCTTTGCGGAGAGGTGACAACATCGTGTTGTTTGCACATGATTAGCAGACCGTCCAATGTACAGGCTTTATGTTGTACACGTCATGTTGGTCGTATGCTGACTGTATACGTGTACTACTAAAGGTCGGAGACCGCCATTACCCGCCTCCTGTTCCACAACGCTCCATATACGCTCTTCCTGTCATCGACCCCCTTGTTCAGCACGAACGACATTCCACCATTCATTTACGCCTGACCGAATCATCTACTTCCTTTCCTATACGCCTAATTGCCTGTCAATCTGTCTGCCTACCTGCCCAACTGATTGTTTTCGAAACAGCCCTTCGGCATCGATGGAGGATATCTACGCGGACTTAGATAACAAGACCCCCTGCATCTTCATCCTGTCCACCGGAGCCGACCCGACGTCCATGCTGCTTCGATTCGCGAAGGTGAAACCGAGCATACACTTTTTACTCAGCATGGGACGATCAAGTAAACAATTCGAAGTGCAACGTAAGCTTGAAAGGCGCCCGTGCTGATCGCCTTCCATGGTGTAGATGATGGGCCGGTCGAGTCACAGCCAAGAAATTGGTCACGACAAATACTGCAAATACAAAAGCACGCTTCTTTCGAAGAATGGCACCCCATGCAGCGTATACACCTAAGGGCGCTCCTCAGCCTCGCCCTTACACGTTTTAATTATTTCAGAGTAGGCGCAACGTGGATGCCCTTCGGAAGGAGGGGCTGACCAAACTCTCTCGCTCTCCTTTCTCTCTCGCTCTCCCCCCCCCCTCTGTTTGTCTTGCACACACTACCAAGCACCACCCACCTCATCTTGGAAAGGAGGCGTGAAAGCCCTCTCTGGACCCGCTTCCGGAATACCGTAACCCTCCCAGCTCCTGCGATCCAATCAACGCTGCGTGGCACAAGCCCACGCTGTACCTCATACTCTGCTATTATCCTACTTTCCCACACTCCATCCCTGCTACTGCTACTGCTACTCGAACCCTGTCTTCCACCCCGAGGGGGCGGAAGCCATGCCTCACGTGAGCTCTAACTCCCCAATCGGACGTTGTACAAACCCTTGCTTGTCGAACGTCATTCAACTCATGCTGTGATTCGTCTCAAGGTTATGGGATACGCGGATCGACTGAGCTTGGTGTCTTTGGGCCAAGGGCAGGGCCCCTACGCGGCAGAGCTAGTGGAGAAGGGAACCAAAACGGGGGACTGGGTTCTACTGCAAAACTGCATGTGAGTGTGCCTAGTTTGTGTGTGGTCGCGTCTTTCGTTTGGGTTGGGGAGTTTCTGTGGCGATGGTGATGGCGTTGGGTTGCTCTTCTTGGTAGGCATGTTGGTGAGCGCCACCTCCTTGATTTTCTTTCGCAAATTCACTAACTTTCCGGTGAGGTTCGCTTTTTTCTCCAATCCTTAATCTCGTTGACCGTGTGCATGCCACAATCACACACCATGCCCAACGAACCCGCAATATTATGGCTGCCTCCTGGGAAACGTTGCCGGACTGGTCGACTAGAGTGTTCTCGAAACGACCAACTTGAATTACTTCTTCCCTCCTCGTTATGCACCCTCCATGCGACTCGCCGCATACCTCATTGCGCTTCATGCTTAGTGATGCGTTAGCCTGGTCCGGTGAAAATCCGGCGTGCTCCGCCCCCGGCGTTTTAGGAATGCTAGGTCGATGGTCTAACGACGACGGCATGCACGGCTATGAGTAGACCCTCCTCCTAATATTGGTGGTTGCTTAGCGTGCGTACGTGCCTCGTACACAAAACAATATTGGGACCACCCGCTTTTCTCAGGCTTGCCAAGTCGTGGATGCCGGCGCTGGAGAAGATCGTCTTTGGGCTAGCCGACGCCACGGAGGCCAACAACGAGGCCTTCCGCCTCTACCTAACCAGCGCGCCGGCCACGTACTTCCCCGTGTCTATCCTCCAGAACGGCGTGAAGATGACCAACGAGCCGCCCAAGGGCATCAAGGCGAACGTCGCCAGGTAGGAGTGCATGTGGGTGTGTGGCTGCATTATTTGCGATTGTGTGGCTGTGTGATTCTTTAGCTGGCTACCGACCTATCGGTGACCAGAAGCTAGTCGATAGAGGGGAATAATGTGCGTGAAAGAAGAATTCACATGGACAGGACGCCGAGGGATCAATACAGGTCTCGGTTTTCACTCCGTCCTCGCTTTTCCCGTAAAATATAGGGGACGGGATGAAGGTCAAGCTTGCCACATTGAAGACGAAGGTGTTGCTAGTCAACGATGAGTCCTCGGGTTCTTCTTTTTATTTCTGGGAAGTCCGGACCGATGTAGCCAACTTCAAGGAGGGAGGAGGGGGGCAAACACGACACCAGGCGGAAAGGACAACCATGCATATTTTCTCAGGGTGTCGACACAAAGAATGCGCTTCTTTTTTGGAGCTTAGGAGGATACGGTATTGTCGCGACCCTTATGTGAGATCATCTCGACACAACGTCATGCTTTCGCTCCCAGGTCTTGGGCGAACCTAATGAAGGAAGATGAGTGGGAAACTTGCGCCAAGAGGGACGAGTTCAAGAGAATGATCGTCGGACTTCTCTTCTTCCACGCCAACATTCAGGTACACGTGTTTGAGATACACGGTACGCTACGTTCGGGCAGTACGTGTCGCCTCCTAACAGACGCGCCTCTCTGCCTACCCGAGGAAAATCCTCCACTCTTGATCCCTTTGTTAATTTCTCCACGTGAGCTTCTTAGGAGGCAGCCGCTAGACAATAACCCCGTCAGCTCACGTACTGAGAACGCTTCGTGTGGTATCCCACGTCGTGCGTGCCACACGTCATTCTGTCGCATACGACTAATCTACATTGATGTCCATGGTCTTGTTTCGTAAGCATTCATCGGGTCCCATCCGAATTAAACCAACTGAACAGGAAAGAAGGAAGTTCGGACCGTTGGGGTGGAACATCCGGTACGCCTTCGACGAGTCCGACCTCGAAACTTCCATCGCGGTCATGAGAAAATTCCTCGAGGAGCAGGTGAATAATGTTGAACGCGCTGCGGAGAAAGTCTGCACAATCGATGGTGTGCTTTTGGTGGATACTCTCTTTTCAGCGATGCATCTTGCCTCTCGACCTGAAGCGCGTTGGGAAAACAGAGCAAATTTTCCGGCAACAACCAACCAAAAGAAAACCATAAATATTTGGCAAAGGGCATGCACGGGCTGAATAGCTCAGCGACTCCACCCCTCCCCTGCCACGCTCCGACTTGGTATTCCCATCGCAAATCTCCTCTCTTCTTCGGGTTGCCGCCACAATGTGCCCCATGTCACCCCCGGTGCACAAGATCGTAGTTTACTCGTTATGTCACTATCGGGCGATGATCGTATTTGCTTCGCTTTTCGGCACTCGCGGCGACTTGCAGGACGAGGTGCCGTGGGATGCACTGCGCTACGTGACCGGGCAGATCAACTACGGCGGAAGGGTCACCGACGACTGGGACCGGCGCTGCCTCATGAGCGTCCTGGGGATCTACATCAACGACGGGATCCTCAAGTCCGGATACAGGTTCAGTGGCTCCGGGATATACTTCTCGCCGTCCCCTGGTCCCTTCCAGGTTCGTCTTGATACGAAGTTTCGATTCGGTCGGGCCCCTCGATTTGTTGGAGAATGTTGGTTAAACAAAGGCTGTTAATATGGGGCAGCAGAGGAAAAGAAACAGATGGAAAGGGGGTCCACCCAGCTTATGGACATGACAATGCTTGTACCATGCGTGTGGTTCCTTTATCTCCTGGCACAGGGCGTGAGCGACTACTTCGGGCAGCTTCCGGGGGTGGACAACCCGGAGATTTTCGGCATGCACGAGAACGCCAACGTGACTTTCAACACCAACGAGTCGCTGGGCCTCATGCAGACGGCGAGTGCTCGCTCCCTGTGTGGCGAATTAGATGAAACAACCCAAAAGTATTGACCGCTGGCCAGGCGTCTCAAAAAGATATTGACCACTGGCCAGGTTTCAAAGGGGACAGATGCAGTAACGGTGGAATCGGCATTGTGGGGAGCTCCATGTTCACATACACAACCGGGGCAATTGTATCGGAATGCGAAGGCTTCCCTTGAACACCAAGATTACCATCTAGCAGTGCCCAGGGTGAGTCCTTCACTCGGCGGCCGATCCCTAGACAAAAGTGACCGGGAATGCTCGAGATGGCATACACGCCAACTAAGAGGCGGAACGCATGGAAACGTAGGGGTGCCATCAACAGCCTGATCAGAAAACACACACAGCCAGGCGCTAAACAGCCCGCCCGACAGCCGAATTACCAGTTCGAACACTCGAACCCGGCTGGTTGAGTGAAAGGCTGACCGCCGGACAGACGCACCAAACGCTGACTAAGTGACAGGCTAGCCATTGGACATTGACATACTAAACTCAAGCGGCGAAATCAAACAAAACCACGGCGCACGCACACGCAGATTCTCTCCCTCCAGCCGCGCGAGAGTAGCGCGGGCGGAGGCCGGAGCAACGACGACATTGTGACGGAACTTGCCGAGGAGCTCGAGGCTCAGATCCCGCCGCTTCTGGACGACGACGACGCTGGACCTACCACCTTCGTCCTACAGGTGTTGGTTGACCCATGCTTGCGATCCTTAATCTATTGGCAAGTGTAGCGACCACAGCTTTCAATCGCGCTTCGTACCTTCTCTACCTCGAAGCACTTCAATTGGGTGATCCTGGAAGGTTGTACCACCCCACCGCCTACATAACGGTCCCCCCCAGCGAACCAGCATGCGCAATCTAACGAAATCGCGGTTGGTATTGTTTGCCGACGTTGGAGCAGGAGAACGGGCTGCTGCCATCGCTGGCCATCGTGCTGAAGCAGGAGATGGTGAAGTTCAACAGGCTCCTCGCGGCTATGGGCTCGTCCATCACCGAGCTCAAGAAGGCCATCAAGGGGCTCGTTGTCATGTCTCAGGTTCGTTTGCTTTGGTGGTCCTCGTCGCTGCCGTCCTTGTTCTTGCAGCTGTTGGCGAGTTGTTTGCCGGCGCCTAGCAGCACCGTTGAGCAAGGTTTCTTGTACGGCAGCGCGATCAATGAATCACAAATCATGCAGTTCATCAGCAACAAAGAGGCTGCAAGTAGGGTTGAGACCTAGAGTTGGAAAATTGCCATCAAGCCCTGTTGAAGACGAACTCCTCCTGTGCCGCAGGCCAAAACACGTAAGGCGGAAGAATGCCCCGCCCCCTCTTGCAGTTGTCCCTCTGGATCGTGCTTGAAAGTAGCGGAAAAGAAGCCTAACGTGGTAGGCACTTCTCGTTGTCTCGCTCTCTGTTTTCTCTTGTCAGCTGAATTATTTCCTCTATATCGTGGCGCAATACTCGTCCATCCCCACCCCTGTTAACTGCGGTTTCATCGCTTTCCCTTTCGTTAGGATCTTGACCGCATGTACACAAGCTTCATGAACAACCAAGTGCCGGCGCTTTGGACGCGCGTGAGTTTCGCCAGCCTCAAAAGTCTTGCATCTTGGAACAAGGACCTCCTCTTCAGGTATTGTCTACAGAAGCAGTATGGCCGTTGTACTGGCATACTCAAACCTGTGTGCTTGTTGAGTACGTTGGCGTGTCGATCAGGACGAGAGAGAACCGACATGAGACGGTTTTTGGCACGAAGAGAGAGGAAGAAGGGGAAACGGCGGCGGTGTAGTCTAGCTTTCCCGTCCACCCGTTTTTGTCGGCCTAAGCAGAAGAATGCTACAACACACTGCTTCACCGTTCTGGTCTCTCGCTTTGTTGACCGGTGAAATCGCTGAAGTACGTGCCACACGACAATGTAACCAAACGAAACCAGTGCGACGAATTGGAAGGTGGAGTCGTTTGCGCCACTGGCCAATTCCATGTCAGCTACGAGACGCGGTGATAGGGCTCCTTCCCAATCTCTTCACCGAAAACCCACAAAAGCCGGAAAATCCCTCGGCTGCCTGCGCTCTACACACGTTGCCACCACTCTGATGCATTTTGTATATTTCATTCTTGCAAAACACGTTGTTTTGTTTTTGTCAGGGTAATCTTCATGCGGGGCTGGCTCAAGGAGGGGCAACCGGCGTGCTTCCCTTTACCAGTGTTCTTCTTTCCCCAGGGGTTCATGACCGGCACATTGCAGACCTTTGCGCGAAAATATCAGGTACAAGAAGTCCGCCAACCAAAAACAACCCGGCAAGTATGGAATGGGGTTCATTTCACGGTAGAAATTAGCGAAATGGCGATGCCCTCGCATCATGGCTGCCGCGCAGCTGCACCGTTGGTGCGGCCCCAGAAGGCGACCACTGCCGTGGTGAATGTTGCTGTCACGAGCAGCACGACCCTCATCTTCTTTTAGCCCTCTCTCCACCAGGCGTATGCTCCTAGTTGTTTCATCGTACTGGGATGGCTTGTGGACATGAGCGAGATAATGTGAGAAACATGGTCAACAGGAACAACAGCATCAGATGCGAGCGTACCTGAATATCAACCCCGATTTATCAACCCCCCAAAACGTATCAGGTGGCGATCGACACGCTCACCTACAAATTTGACGTGATGCGAGAAGACCCGTCTGACGTCACGGAAGGCCCTGACGACGGAATCTACTGTCACGGCTTATGGCTAGAAGGCAAGAGCAAACTTCAAACGGTCTTATGCATTTTTTCGGTACAACGTTTACACGACACGAACTGACCAGGGGAACTATTCAATCTTTGCAGAGTGCTGCCCAGAGGCCCGAAGCACATGCCCCTCTCTTTCTCGCATGTTTGGAACGACCAATATTAGTAGATCTCGCCAAATGCGACAACAATAATATCCTCTAACACACGGACGTTGGCCTTTCCAATTTTTCTCAGTCAGCATGGTTCCGTGCCATCGCGTGTTTATTTTCAACTCGAAATCCCCGATCGATGGTCTTTCACTCAGGCGCAAGGTGGGATTCCGACGCCTGGAAGCTCCGCGAGTCCCACCCTGGAGAGATGTACATGGAGCTCCCGCTCATTCACTTCATGCCCGCGGCGGGGCACAAGACAGCGGAGTGGGACTACGCGTGCCCCGTATACAAGACGGCCGAGAGAAAGGGGGTGCTCAGCACGACGGGCATGTCGACAAACTTCGTCATCGCGGTGGAGCTGCCGACGGACGTGAGCCCGGACGTGTGGGTGATGTTTGGCGTAGCCGCACTGTGCAACCTCACGGACTGATTGTCGCACACCACTTGCTTATTAGTTTATAGCCGGGTGAAGTTTTGTGGGTGCTGGAAGTAGGTGTTGTCTGCATTCGTCGATATCAAAGCAGTAAACAGTAGCGTAATTTATGTACGTTCCAGCGGCGAAGGAGGGCAAATATTGGTCTGGTTGGGGGCTCAAGAGCTTAACGCACGCGAGTTTGATGCGTTATAATAGCAGTGTTGCAGCCGTCAGTTCGTAAGCGTCGGAGAAGGGGTGTTTCCTCCCTTGAGAAGTTAACTCTCGTAGTTCCCCTTGGGATTCCAAGTGAATTTGTGGCAGCTAACTAATGTTGACACGTGAAATTTTTCGTGTATTTGCGAGGAGCACGATATCATTTCACTTGAGCGACTGCACTCTCCACTTTCGGTGCGTGTACATTGCGGTGGGAGGGGCGGCGGCGAGTATGCCGAGGTGTGGACAATCCTGACAGCAGCACAGGGCTTAACCTGTCATAAACCACATGATGACACAATTACTGTAGTGCCACAACCAACGCGCCTCTCCGGAACAACGGTGATTTCTCGCAAGGGAGAGTGTGGCAGCAGCATGGCCAAACACTCGCCACTTGCCTTCACGGCATACCCAGAAAACCACAGCACCACACTATATCTCAGAGTGCTCCTACGCTCGAGCTGCGTACATGACGATCAACCCTGAAGGCCCCCACAGCCAATAGAGCAGAAAGAGCGAGACTTTGGTCAGATGGTAGATGATGAGAAAGGGTCATTGGGTGACTGCCCCAAGGCAAACCCGTAGCAATGTTGCCGCGACCACCGTATGTGCTGAAACATATTTTGAAGAGAGAAAAAGCCTGGTCCATGTCTGCGCCTGGAATGACGCATTCTACTCCAGCAAACGCAGCCGAAAAAGACAATACATACAGCATCGTTAGCAACATGATGCTCTACACTGAGGCCTCTCGGCGTTGTCCCATGCGAACACGGTCAAACGCCCACATAAAGACATCACCAATTCAACAACGGACAGCAGTCTATTGCGAAGGTCTTGTGTCCCTCCAGCAACACAGCCTCCAAAAATAAACCCGACCACCTCTAGGGAAACACGAAAATGCACCAAACGAAGCGGTTTCCGTCCCCATCTTCAGCTGTCGAGAATGGCGCCACACACGGCGTCCTGTAGCCTGCTTATGCTGTACTCGTGGTTCCGAGCATAGTTGAACAGCACACTCACACCCACGACCGACTTGACGGCCTCTACGACGATGGTCACCTGTGAAGGAGATTGGGGCCACCAATAACAGGAAGACAACGCGGACGTGCCAAGAGTGCGACGGGGGCGATAAAATTGAGTATACCCTCGTGTGTGCGGGGTGGGAAAGAGAGAGTATAGACTCTGACGTTCGCAGCGACTTGTGAGCATTGAGGAGGGGTGACTTCTCCTTTAAGGGCAAACGACATTTCTGTCTACGGTGCCAGCAAACAACCCGAAAGCAAACAAAATGAGGGAGGCGAGGTTTTCGCCGAGACGACGGTAGTGTGAATAAGCTCTCCGGGACAAACCCAAGGTTCGCCATAGAGGAGACCTCCAGCTCACCTGCCAAGCTTTGCTGGATCTTAAACAATGAAAGTTCCCCGCGTACGGCATTCTATGCTCACTACTGAGAAAGGCAAGCGCTGCTTATGACACGAAGAATCGCAATAGCTGAAGAAGCTATCTGAACACCACCACATCACGGGTCGGTTAATGTAAGTCTGCAGGCTGCATTCAACAAGTGCCTGCGAAAACCAAGCGAGAGAGAAAAAACCCCTACGACGTGCTGTGCGGAGTGACACAAAAGTGGCATCTGCAGTGCAAATATTAATATCACCTCCGGAGAAGTCATGTTCACTGAGTGTCCCACGCCCACGGACCCCACCGCAGCATTGATCAAGTCGAGCCGCTTCAGCCCTGAGTTTCTCCTCCTTATGTCCGCCCTGAACTTCCACCTCTTGTCACAGGTCTTCTTCTCGTTGCCATCGCTGACAACATCGCCCTCCTTGGTGCCAGCAGCTCCTGGGGCGGCAGAGCCCGCTCCCCCCCCTGCTTTATCTCCGGTGCCGTTTGGTGCGCTCGCTGCCGCACCTTCACCTTCCTTTTCTTCTGTCTCCGCTGCTTTGACCTTGTCACCACTGCTGTCCTTCGGTGCCGGCGTTCCCTTTTCAGTCTTCACCGCAGCAGGGCCGGTGGCCTTGGCACCGGAAGCTCTAACAGCAGTCGGTAACGGTGGTACTTCCTCTGCGACGGGCGGCAGCGCCTTCGAAACAATGGGTCCGACCGCTTCCTTGATGGCATCAAGCTCGGAATACGCCGTGACCTGCAGCGGCGTCACCCGCTCAAGGAAGCGACTCCGGCGCATCTTAGTCGTCCTTATCTCGTCATAGAGGGTGTCCACCAACCGCAAGATGTCCACCTTCGGATCCACAACGCACACCATCACCACGCCCTTTACGGACGTGTTGACGGACTTGAACCGGTGAACTTTGTCGCTCCCGGACCGCAGCGCGTCCGCCTCTTGCTTCACCATCTCTTCCACAGACATTTCGGCCGCCCCTCCTGCTGGTGCTGCTGCCGAGGACGCTGATGCCCTAGCCCCATCGCTATCGCCGTTGCCAGGTTTTCCTTCTGCGCTCGGCGTGGGGGCGACAGGTGATGCTGTCGCGGCATCTTCGGCCGCCGCGTCGTCCCCGTCAGTCTCGGGGTACATGTCATCGGCCACCGAGTTCAGCATGTCTACTAGCTCGGCTGTTGCCTGTCTATCGTGCCGGACATCACAGGTGCCAACGACGGCCTGGTGGCCTTTCACGTTCCCAAGGTTTATCGCTGCCGTCCGTCGAGGCTTCTTCGGACCCTCGTCCCCGCTGCCGCCGTTGCCGTCTTGCTCCCCTTCCCTGGGCCGCTTGGCCTGATAGTGCCCGGTCCACTTTTTCTTGGGCCCCATCAGTTTCTGAGGTGAGCGCTGCTCTTGTCGTGGGGGAAGCGAGAAATGGCAGCAGTACGGCGGGGTGGCGAGAAACCAAGCAGAGCTGAAGTGCAGCGCCCTCTTGACTGCTGATGAAGACGCTGCTCTGTTGGTTACACAAGGTTACATACGTAGCGCGGGCGGCCCAGCATCAACCCGGGGGTATACGGCTGGCCTGTACAGTCCCGCGCCCAATGCCAACAAGAAATCAAGCAACTCCGAGGTTCTAATTACGCCGCGCGCTACGCGCCGCCCACCAGGACCGCGGAGCTGTGCTGTGCTGTGCCTTCATTGCAGAGGTGGCATGGTGCTCCGAGCGTGGGTAACAGGACCGAGAGGTCTTAGAAGTGGGCTAGCCGCGCCCTTGCGTGGAATATGTGTGGCTGTCCGATGGTGCAGCACGAATTCTTCTTCCGATGCTGCAGGACGGCAGCCGGAGATGACGGTGAACGACTTGCATCGGCAGCCAGACATGCTGTCGGGGTTTGACCCTAGCCTGATACGCAACTTCAGGTGCGCTGTATGGTCCACACGGCATCGATTGCCGAAGAGCAGCACGTAGAACGTTGGTGCGCAATATGGTGTACAGGGGTGTTGACTGCAGAGCAGACTTAAAAACATGTGCCGGCAAATTTGGTCAGTTTGCTGTCAGGACCTACGTACATTTTGGATTTGCCTCACCCGTGCCTATCTAATACGGTAGTGCTGCAGATGTTGTGGTAGCCACGATAAACTCATTCCACGTGCGAAAGGTATGAAACAAGCTGAGCTTCTAAAGGCCCTTCATCGTGCGCCACATTGTCCAGTACACATGAATTGTAGATCGCTGCAACGCTGCTTACTATACACGGTAGCGATCCCTCGCCTCCTAGCACTTGCACGCCGCACGGATTCGGGAGTGTGGTGGGTTGCCTCGTTCTTGTCCTCGCTCCCCTTATAGGCACAAGAACATCTATCGAGCTTCGTTCGTTGGGTTTTTGCCTGTTCCCCTGCTTCCAGCATCATCGCGCACATCGATCACGGCAAGAGCACCCTGGCCGACACCCTTTTGGTCCGGACGGGAACCATCAGCGCGAAGGACAGCCGGGGTAGTCCCCAGATGCTCGACACGCTCAAGGTATGGTATGGCCGATACGCGGTGCGCATGATCAGCAGTACTGTTTCCTTCATGAAGAAGGGGTACGCCAAGTTGGCCGCTCCCCGCGAAATTGTAAAGCCTACTTTGACACGAGGTGTAGGCAGTTACAGTATGAAGGCTGCAACGACACATGGCTCCCGGACAACTTGTTGCGTTTGGTGCTGCGTCAAGTCTTACTCGCAACACATTCCAAAATCCTGTGGAAAACCCAATATAACATGTGTCATGGATGTTACGAAGATGGTGGGCATATCTCTCAAGGGATGCTGGTATTTGAAGGCACCAACAATGCCTCCCCGATGTGTTCGTTCGGTCTCGATTTCAGGTTGAGCGGGACAGGGGGATCACGGTCAAGGCTCAGACGGCGAGCATGTTACACGACGGGCACCTCTTGAACCTCATCGACACGCCCGGCCACGTGGACTTCAGCTATGAGGTAGATGACGACACCTTGTTGCCTTCCTGTTGCTTCCTGCCGCTCGGTAGAGAGCAGACGGTGCCGGTTGCCGCCTCGTGCTTGTAGTTGTTCTTTGTTCCAGCAGAGCCGCTGCCGACAGCGGGAAAACAGAATGTTTGTGATTGTTTTGCTCGTGCAAAGTCGGGTTGGCTCGAGGTTTTCGCGATGGCGTTGGTCGTTCGGTGGGAACCGTCGCCAACTCTCCTGTGATTCCCTCCGCACAATCACAGGCACCAGCGCTCTGCCCGATATATGCCACATGCTGTCTCTTTCTGTTTTCCTCAACAGCGCTAACCCACATGACCACTTGGTTCTTTTCGAAAGGGATGATGTACACAGTGATCGGACACCAGAACTTCGGGGCTACGGCAATAGTCCATGCACGCAACGAAACTACCTCCCCTAACCCCTTTTTGTGTGAGAAGGTGGTGCGGAGCCTCTCAGCGTGCCAGGGGGCCCTGCTGCTCGTAGACGCCACCCAGGGGGTGCAGGCACAGACGCTTTCCACAGCGAAGGCGGCGCAGGCGGCGGGGCTCAAGCTCGTGCCCGTGGTGACCAAGATAGACCTGCACCACGCCAACGTCGAGGCAAGACTTTGGTTTGATGTTTGAGTTTGAGAGGAAGAGGAAGACTCTTATTTGCTTTCGAGTGAAGCTGCGCTCACTGTTCTGGGTTTGATCGGTTCTAGGAGTAGGAGCGGTGTATGACGTATGCATGCATGGCCTGGAACGGTTGAGATGGGCCGACCCAACGCCGGAAGTGGAGTGGATGGTCTTGGTTCGGTTCGTTCTCGAAAACGTTTCGTTTGATCTCTCTTCGTCCATTGCTACCGGACCGTTGAGCAAAGTGTAGGGCCAGCGCAGGTCAGTCGTTGTCCCCACACGCACGTTGAGCCTGACAACTCCCGGCTTTGACATGACGTTTGTGCGTGAGCTACAAGAAGTACTGCCCCGTATCGGTGGTCCTATACCCTACGCCTGTCCCGCGCCACAACAATAAGCACAGCCGACGCGTCGAGGTGGCGGCGTGCGAATGCTCTGGTTGGCCGACTTTAGCAGTGAAACGTTATCTCTATTAAAGATGGGGTGCAGTTCGAGCGCAAATGCCACACGGCGCCCCTACTGATCTTTCGTTCTTACTGTGTACATGGAAAGCCTTTCACGCTGCACCAATTCTGGGTGGTCGAATCCCGAAAGTTTGTTTTCTCTGCCAGCTTTACCCATGCGCCCACCTGCCTATCCACCCAAACTCTGCCGCTGATTCTTTTGATAGGACGCAATACTGTCGGTCGCGACCACTTTCGATCTGGATCCGGATGACGTCATTCCCACTTCGGCCAAGACTGGCGAGGGCGTTGATGAGGCGAGATTGTTATTTTGCACGGCACGGGTACGGCGGGGAGGAGCTACACCCTTTTGCAGCGACATATGCTCGTACACGCGATGATTGCAACATTTCATTCAGCAGCAATCACCACGCACAGCACATGGTCGAGACTTGTCGTGTATGAGAAACCCTGAAGAGATTGTTGGTGATATTTGTGTACGGTAAGTCCATTGATTTGACTGGGCCTATCGAAACCCGTGGGCGTGTTGATTCGCCGTTTTCCTTTTTCGAGGGGTATCATGGTCTCCTCCCTTGGACCCTCACGACCACTACTTCCGGCCGAGAAAAACGCACCGCCACGTACACTACCTGCGAGAACAAGGCTGGTGGCGTTTCCGAATAGACGGGGATGGCACCATTTCATACCCTGGCCCTCGCTGTCCCCTTGCAAATTTCCTGCGGTGACGATATGCGTCGGGTGTTTGCGAGCGATCATGGAGAGGCTCTAACACCGATGAAGAACGGTGTTGGTAATTTAGGCATGGTTGACTTGACGCCAATCCACGTACTTAACCCTAGTCGCACCCCTAAACACGGTGGTCGCGAAACAGGTGTTGGGAGCGATCATTGAAAGGGTACCCCCGCCGCCCCGAGTGGTGGATCCCGCTGCTCCTCTGAGGGCACGGTTGGTGGACTCTTGGTATGATACTGTCCGGTGAGTTTGTGGAAGGAAGCCGTGTGCGGCCATCGATTGTGTCTTGATGCCACTCGTGTCCTAAGTTGGTGTTGTTTGATACGTTGTATGTTGTTGTTGATTGCTATGGTGGTGTGACCGATTTTGTTTTGCGGTGGGTACGCATTCGATACCGGCTAGCACGCAGCATTTGCCGACGCCAAGGCATCTCAATCCCTTTCCCCGTCAACCAACCCGTGTCTCAAATTTGACTCGAAGATCCCCCCGCCCGCCCCCCCTTCCGTTCAGAGGCGTTGTGTGCTTGGTAGAAGTCGTGGATGGCTGCCTGGTGGAGCAAGATCGAGTTGTTCCGTTCCATCTCAAGTATGGTTCCGGTTCCGCCTCCGGTTCCGGTTCGGACGCGGCGGGCGGCGGGTCTCCTGCCCCATCGACGAGCTCGGAGACGTTCTCGGTGCAGGAGGTGGGCCTCCTGACGCCGGCACCGACGAGGACGGGGGCTCTGTACCCGGGGCAAGTTGGCTACATCATCGCGGGTGGGTGGCTTGGGGAGGTGGCATGGTATGTTGCTTGTTGGTGCTGGTTTACGTGGTACGCTGTTCGGTTTTGCTCCTGTTGTGAATAATTGTTGCTGGGTGGGTGTTGGTTTGATGTAGTTGTAGCTCTCTGGGGAATTGTTGGAGGTGGTTTCCAGGAATAGGTCACCATGTACGCGTTGTGGCGATGCTGGTGTCTGATGTCGGTAGCGTCTCGGCTCATGAGAATTGGCGTGTATTCACAAAAGGGCAGGCGCCGCGTCACTGCCGGTGGGCGGCCGGTTGCCGTGCATTCGGAGAAAGAGCGAATCACAGCCCTTGTCCCTCCGTCATTTATCCCTTTTGGCGTGTCGCGTTCGTCCTCCACGACAAGGAATGCGCTCCACCCGACAGGCGACCATGGGAGACACCATAATCAAGGCGGGGGTCTCTCCGCCACCCTCCCCTCTCCTCATCATCGAGCCGTCCAAGAGCATGCTCTTCGCGAGCGTGTATCCTCTTGGTAAGAGGCAGTGTAGTTGTTTATTGCGAGGGAGTTCCCCCAGCAGTTGTCGAGAGAGCCAGCTCGTGGTGCCAATTTCCGTTTGATTTGATTCGTGTTACTTCGAGGTTGGAAGGAGAGAATGCATCCATCCCTAGAAAGGCTGGGGTTGATTTTGAAGTCGCCTGTCGCAGCCAAGCGCTTGTCGTGGCGAATCTCAGGATGCGGTGTGCGAGGCGAGACGCATGTCAACGCCTTCACGATGTGTCGTATGTTCCCATTTTCGATTTTGCGTTTGGTCTTCTCACAGTGTTTTAGGTGCTCTTGCTATGTGTTGTGTTGTTTGTTCTTTTTTGCGCCGAGGGGGACGGAACCACACGAGTGTTTCATACTTGCTGCCTTCTTGCTCTTAGAGCATGCGCTGAACTACGACTCTCCCGCCACGTGACAAACTGTGTGTCGCATTCTGTACGTTTCATGAGGCGCGCGTGTCCAAAAACTCTAACTCGCCAGTCTGATGGCAGGCCATGTTAATTAGTCGAATACTTGTTATGCCGACTGTGGACACGGAGGAGAGCGAGCTCGTTCGGAGATTTTTTTTCTTCCCACCTGATCAATTATTGTCTGATTGAGCTACCAGGTTAGTACAGTAGTCGCACATCTGGTCAACGTAAGGGTTGAACCGGTGTGTTGAAGAAGTGTCGAGCTTCACGACTCCAATTTTTTTTTTCTTTGTGATGGCGGCGGCGGCGGCGGCGACGACGACGAGCAGACGACGGAGACTTCGACTCTTTGCTGAGAGCGGTGGAACGGCTGGCCCTCAACGACGCGGCGATCGAGTGGGAGAGGGAGCAGAGCCCGGCGCTGGGCATGGGCCTGAGGATGGGCTTTCTTGGCGTCTTGCACATGGAGGTGACGACGGCCCGAGCAAGCCCACACACCCGAGATTAATTGGCAGCGGTGCGCTTGGTTGGCAGAGGTGGATCCTCGGGGGATTGTCTTTCGTGATCGTGCCGTTCAGAGGGTGTTTCCTCGGCGTTGTTGACCATGGAAAAGCGGTACACCATAGAGGGCGGCATTAATGGAAGGTGAAAGGACCGGCAGAGATAAGGGCTTTGGCGAGAGGTGTCTTTTTTCGCCCCTGTCTTGTTTTTAAGCTACTTGCTGGGGTACCCCGCGGATGGGGACAAGCCTCTGGGTTGTTTTGGATTGTCCGACGCGACGTAGTTGGCCCGGTGGGCTGTGTACGTTAGGAATGCTCTTGTTTGGCGGTGCGTTCCATCGTGCTTGGCTCATTAGTTCTGCATCCCTTTTCGACTGCCCGTGTTCACGTGGCTGCTGTGTTTCCTGCCGCTGCCGCCGTTGCCTCTGCTGCTACTGTTTCGATGACGCACACACGGTCGCTTGGGGCATTCATTCACTCCCTTGGATGGGGTCGGGTCGGATCGGAACGTTTTTGTGCGAGATCAGGTGTTTCACCAGCGTCTTGTCGACGAGTTCGACACGCCGGTGCTCCTCACCACTCCGACGGTTCCCTACCAGTGAGTGGCGCACGCGATTTCAACACGCGAAAAAAGAGACAAAGCGAACGAATTGCGCTGAAATCCATTACGGGGATAATACCTGCCCAGGGGGCGGGCCATTGCGATGTCTGCACGATGCTTTCGGGCCGTAGAAAGTGATGACCAACGACCGTGAAACACGCGCGATATTTCGCCCGGTCCAAGCCGGGTACCTACTTCCACGTGTGTGGCAATGCAGTAGGCTCATAGCAAACTTGCTCATCGGAGCACGAGTTGTGAAGCTGCTGTGACGCTCGTCGGTTTTCGACATGCCGCCGAAAGTAACGCGGGCGATTGTGTACGTGGGGTCGCTGCCAAACCTCTGAGCCTTCGTCCCCAAGCGAACCAGGGCAGGCGAAAGAAGGCGCTGGCGTCGGTGGCGTTTGAAAACAACCGTTTTTGTAAAACTAAATAATTCTTCCAAATCGCGGTGCCCCCACCCAGTGAGAACGCCTCTATGGGTTGCACCAAAAACAGCGACGTCTGCGTGTTTGTTTTCAAGTCGTACCAGGGTCTCACTTCTGGTGAAGGAAACCTGCCCGCAATTTATCTGCCGGCGGAGCATTACCCCTTGCGCACGCCAGTCACCCTTCGCGTGTATCGAGCCTGTGGCTATGCCCGAACCCTTTGTTCTTCTAGGCACGCAGCCCCCTCGGCCGTTGCTCTTCAGCGCGATTTCTTCGTCACGAATGTGTCTTGCCTGCTTGGGGATCGACCCTTCTTTGTCTTTCCCGGCAACGCTTGTCGTTTTTGGAATGCGACTTTGCCTTCTGTGTTGTTTCTCTGTCTTCCGTGTTGCTTCTAAGTCTTGCGCGCTGAATTTTCGTGTCGCCAGTCTGTCTTTGCACTTCACATGAGCATGCCTGTTTTTATTCTGCTGTTGCAGGATTCAGCCATCTGGAGGGCGAGATCCCGTCACTGTGATCAACCTTTCCGATTGGCCCGATCCTTCGAAGAAGGACGGCTTGAAATTCAAGGTCAGGCACGAAATACGAGGTGTCTACTCAGTAGCAACGGCGGTTAAGGGGGCATCATTTCTCGTGTTTTAGTGCTGTGGTGGCTCTGCGCTAGACGTCTCTTATTAGTCAGTTCTTTCTGGCCGCACCCTTTTTCTCACCCGAGGCGAGATACTGCGAATTGTTTTGTGCGTGCGGGTATCGCCTGTGTGGAGCCGCTGATTTCGAGGTCGCGAAACGACCTTTGAGATGCTAGCAGTTCGTGGGCAAAATGCGTACAACGTTGGCCGATGCTAATAGCGCGTTTGCTCTTGCGTTGCTGGTGTTCTTGCAGTTCTTCCGGGGGTACTGTGCTGGCTGAGACCTTTTTCTGGAGTGCCCGTGAATGTTTGTTGTTTTTTCTTTGTTGCGCGCGCGGGTTCTTGTTCGCACCCGTGTTTAAGCTTGTTAATGTGTGCCGCTTTCCTTCCAGGTCCTGGAGCCCGTGGTGGACGCGACCATCATTACCCCGACGGAATGCCTGGGGGCAATGCTTACCTTGCTCAAGAACAGGAGAGGGCGTCAGACTTCGATAAAGTGGGTTTTCGTGCTTCTGTAGTTGCTTCCGTCTTCCGGCCCATTGAATAGAAAGAACTCAAATCTTGGAGCCTCCTCAGTCAGGATTCTCTGTGTACTTTGTGGAATGGTCCTTCTATTGGCGCGTGTTTCGCGTTTTGCTCTGTTCTTTCAGACTAGAACCTCTTGATGTTGTTTTGGGCATGTATCTGCGATGGAACGTATTTATACACATTAGACTAAATGGCGTACCGTGGGTTTGGTGTGCAGATTGGCCACTTTTGTTTTGTTGATTGTTCATTCTGTTCTTTTGTAGGTATTGCGGTTTTTGTCAACCCGTCATGCAAAGCTGTACCTCGTTTGACGACCGATGTGATACAAGGATTGGACCCCCTAGGGTTCGGGCAGTCCGTTACGTATACTGCATGTATTTCACATGCCTTGCTACAAAGCGAAAAGACAACAGCGAACACATTCACACGACGCAACCGCGCTATGGTTTTCGCCAAACTCTGTTTTCTAGGTACCTGGATGGTGAACGGGTCTTGCTGGAGTACAAGCTACCGTGGCAGGAAGTCGTGAGTGATCTCCACGACCAGGTGAGGCCCCGGTCTGAGTCGGTTCTCTAGTCCATGACTCGGCGGTTCCTCGCAACTTTGATGTATTCATCCCCCAACTGTCTACTCCAACCAGCCCAAAGAGCACATCGCGCGCGCTGATTCGGAAAAGTCTAGGTCAACGCGTGCTAGGCGTGCTCCATCCTACAGAGTTGTCGACGAACACGCCGCCGTCCAAAATCAGCACCGTCGACCCCCTAGAAACCGAACCAAGAAGATTTCGAAACCACACACCCCCCAGCGTTTCGCAAGCTTTATGCTGTATAGCTTGAAACGGGACCCGGGTCGCGCCGCGTACACGGGCAGGCCAAGACGGTTTCGTCAGGGTACGCGAGCTTCGACTACAGCGCCGCCGAGCCCGAGGCTGCGGACCTGGTGAAGGTGGACATCTCCATCAACGGGGATTCGGTGGACGCTCTGAGCTTCGTCTGCCACCGCGACGCCGCGCAGAGGAAGGGAAGGGACGTGGCGAGGCGCCTGAAAGAGGTGGCCGCAACATAAGTTTGGCCTTCGAGTATGTTTTCGGAGATGTTGCCCTCGCTGGATGGCTTATGAAACCCGTTTTTTTTTCGTTGCTGTTGGTGCAGGACATGCATTCGGCGTTGGACTGGTTTTTGCGGCTCTACGGACGTGCGTGTGGTTCTTGGTTGGGTTGAGTTGGGTTGAACGATGGGGACCCATCCGTGTTTTTACGGCAGGAAATGTTCCAGTGTGGGCTATGTATGTATTCACACCTTCGCCCAGGTGAGAGCCGCCGGTTATCGAGAAAGCCCGTGACGGTTTGATTCTGCGCTATTATAGTGTGATTTCATCTGGTATATCGTCACTCATCCCACCTGTATTCTGTAACACAAGTTTGGACTCTCTCAAGCAGTCATTCTGATCGAGTTACAGTCAGGCGTAAGACTTCTCGCACCCTCATACAATGACTTGTGTCGGATGTGAGTGTATCGCCTGTCCCGCTCTTTTTCCCTTACCCCGATGAGAGTGCCATCGGGTTGGGTTTTCGTCGCTTGGCAGCGATATTGCAAAACAAGCCGATCACTTCGTGAGCTCGGCAACCAGGGTACCGCTTTTTTTTTTGCCTTCGTTTTTTTTTTTGCGGTAACCTTGAATGGTGGTCGAGAAGGTTATGTTGTGCGGGGTCGAGAACCCTCACTCCGCGCAAAGGGGATGATCGCATGCTGTGTTAAATTGGTCAAGCACCCTCGAGGCAGTTGCACAGTACCTACAACTGTCTCTGAAAGCACCAGAAAATAAAATGAAGTCATACGCAGCTGTCATCCGTACGCAAGGAAGTAAGCACAAGGTGCCGAAAACCCTTAGCAGGATGCACCGCACCCTTCATGCGACTCGCCGAATACCTCACGGCGCTTCGCGCTTGGTGATGTGAGAGCCTGGTCCGGTGGGAACCCGGCGTGCTCCGTGCCGGCTTTGTGGGGACGCGAGGTCAATGGTCTAACGACTACGGCATGCACCACTATGAGTACCTCCCCCCCCCCTCCCCCCCCCCCCGATGAGAGTACCTCCGGACTGACTCCAATCAACCCTAGGATAATTGGGTTTGACGCCAGCGGGGGAGAACCAAGGTTTTCTCTGCTGTGCATTGGTTCTTCGGACCTCAGCTACGCTGGAGAGGAGATGCCTAGCTAGCCGATCTCATGGCCGTTTTTTTTCGACAATCAAGTTGTTCACGTCGCGGCGCGCACGTACTCTTGGCAAGAATTGGCTTCCGCACACGAAACGAAGCAGCCAGTACCTGTGCCCGGGTGTGCCTCACGCTTCTTGTTTCACCCTTAACATGCATGCCTGTGTGTGCGTGTTCAGGTGATCGACCGCCAGCAGTTCGAGGTGGTTGTGCACGCGAAGATGGGGGCGAGGCCCTTCGCCAAGGAGAGAATACCCCCCTACCGGTGAGGTTTCCCTTTCCTTCCGTCCGTCGTCCAGGAACGACCCGAAGAAGATAGGGAGGGAACTCGCTTGTATTTTTTTTCCGCCCCAACGCCTCCCGGGCGCCCTACCATTGATAGAGGGCGCTCTCTCTGAGTCGGGTCTCGAAGAGCGTGCGCGATACCCACGAACTACGTACAGGTAGAGAGCAGGTCGGAGGAACTTGACTTCGAACTTGCAGGACTGTTGTGTGTTGGCCAGGGCCGACTACAACCAGAGTAGAACACGATCTCCACCATTTTTCTGCGCTGGAGCGCAGTACTGAGTCGACCACCTCCTGCACATGCACGCGCCTTTCCCTTTGATGTATTTATCTTTTTTCTTTGTTGCCACAGGAAAGACGTGCTGATGAAGTCGGGGAAGTTAGTCGGGGGGGGAGACTCTAGCCGCAAGAAGAAGCTGCTAGACAAGCAGAAGAAGGGGAAGGCCAGAGCCAAAACCGTGGGGCGCGTGCAGCTAAGCCAGGAGGCGTTCTGGGCCGTGCTCTCCGGCGGCAGCGGCGCCGGCGGCGCTGGTGGAGGTGGGGGCCGATAGTACCCGGTATATTTTCCTTTTAGGGGTGGCGAACGGCGTGATGAATGTCGGAATACTTGGCCGCAAAAGGAGAGCAGACAGCTTGAGAGTGAGTCCGGCAGTTCGTGTGAGTAGAGGTTGGCTCGGTGTTTCTCACCCCTGGAGGCAGTTAGACCACCCAGCGACGAGGGAGCATGGATGTGATGGGGGCACAGGGAACATGACGGTGGTTGTTTGCATGTGCTAGAGCAGGCTTTTATTTGCTGTCGGTACTAGGATCGAGCAGGATGGCATTGGCCGACTCGTCACCCCTTCTCTTCGGCCTTGTTGCTGAGAAAAACCCAAAGCTTGTGACACTAAGATTTAACTCTCAAGGGAGTGCTTCGAACGCATGTGCCAGCACACCCGGGGTCGCGGTGCTCGGGAGTCAGGCAGAAGGCAGCAGGCATCGCGGTTTTCGTAGTTCAGAATATCTTGCGATGTTGACGAGCTGCCGGCATCAATGTAGCCCGTGGCGCATGAGCGCGCACAAGAAGCTAGTCTTGTAGAGGAATGCGCGATACCGGAGCATGACGTGGACATTGTTGGTGCTTCATACGTTCCTCACTAGTTGTCGAGCAACAGAATACAGCATTGTGTCGTCACGGAATAGTTCCCGGAAACAGAAGCTCGTGAGGTTAAGCTTGGGAGCTCGGGGTAGGGCGGTCGAGACTGATCGAAGAAAGCGTGAACAGTATCAACATGCCGTAACCGCGAGCGGTACGAAACACGATGGACTAGAGTGGCGGTCCTTTGTTTGTACCGCTTGTGTAGGGGCCGGCAACAGTCACTCGATAGAGAATGGGCGGCGTGTTTTCCCCTCCTGCGCATCGCACGATGTGCCAACCGCACCAAAGAAATTAGCCGAATGGACGACGTGCCGATATCCCCTCGATCCTAGGTTCCGCTTCGCTTCCAACAATTCGTGCATGACGGTCCTACAAACATGAATCTGGCTGGTGGTAGCCGAACGACCTTTCATCGGACCAAATCCAACGGGTGCAGCGTCGCTGCCATTTTGAATGCCGCTGTGGACTTTGCTCGAGTTGTCATAACCCGCCTGTTTGTCATGCAACTGTCTTCCCAAAGTTGGTGGGATAATACATGCGACGGGAGCCACTGCCCTCTCTACCTGGCGCGGGCGAAAGCTCGCGTTCACAGCACAAAGGGCGTCCATTAGACTAAGGCTGTTTGGAAAAGAGCCTACCACTTGATTGTTCTTCAAAGATACGCAATTCTCTCGCACTGCCAGGCGAAGGACGGCCAACTCTGTTTTCAATGCAAGCTTCCTTCACGACCGCAAGTGGATTGTAGCTGAACTGCACACTTGGATAGGACGACCGAGAAACAAGGCAAACCAAGAGAATGATTCGATGCAGACGGACCCTACCCAACCCTATTTCCTTCCTCGCCCAGCCCCCCGCGCCTCTCCCCCCAGGGGGAGGGCACGTGACGACGTCCAACCCCCTTTGTACACTACCGCTTGCCCCATCTCGTTGCACTCTGTGACTAGGTCTGCTTACAGCGGTAAACCAGCGTGTACAGTTTATTCTAGAGACAGATGAGACAGCACGAAGTCCTCCTTACTTTTAGTACTACACCTTACTCTTCCTCCCCCCGCGCCGTAGTTCAAGAGCTGAATCTTCGGCGCCCACAAAAGGATGTTCCTCGTAAAGACGTGATAGTAAAAATAGTGTCGGCATCATCTCGAGGAGTACGCGAACGTGCTTCATACGTGCTTCTGCTATGATGTGCCAAACATGTTTGCATGCAACTACCCCCAACCCAACCGCCCTCCACACATTCACTGAAAACGAATGAGTGATTTCTTCCCCCCATTACTACACTGTGCTCTCATCCTCTGAACCTGCTATCATCCCCCGTGCTTTACATTGATGCCATGTCAAACACGGAAGTCTGCCTCATATACTAATCTACACACACACAAGTTGCGGTGATATACAAGCTGCAGATGAGTATCAGCCTAGGAAATCTCCCCCTTGACCGCCGCGAGGTCTTTCTCCCCCGCCGCCATAGCCTTCTCGAACGAGATGACCTGCGTGACCCCGTCGATCATCTTCTGCACCAGCTGCACCTCGGTGAACCCGATGCGCTGCTTGTTAGAGACGTCGAACTTGTCCTCGACAGCGGCGGAGTGCTCGCCGGCGGACCCCCTCGGCTGCAAGTCGAACTTGTCGCACACCTGAGGCGCCGAAATTATATCAAGAAAAACGCAGGGTTGAGTTGAGATATTTCTGGAGGCCGTGGAAGGACAACGCGGTGGTGGGCTCTAGGTGCACTTTTCGGGAAAGAAAAGTGATCCAGCCGGTATTCGAACTCGTGCGGGTATCCTTCATTCGACAAATGTTACATCATGAGACCAGTCAGCGCTGACTTGTCTAATGGTGTAACTTTATCGAACATAGGCGACGGTTGCACGTCTGTCAACAAAGGTGGGGGGGACATTCCAGCGCTGTACCCCCGGTAGACTAAAGGCATTTGGCAAGCCCGACAAGACGTACCACAGGATACGCAAAATAGAGGCAACGGTGACAGAAAAATATCTGCGTCCGTCCGTGTTCCGATGGCAACGTGGAGCTCAAACCTTCAGGCACGCTGAAGCCTCTCTTACTGAGGACAGGACTAATGCCGTGGAACGGACGATGTACCCTAACGTTCCCCTCTTTCTCTCTCACCTGTTCAAGCACTTGGCGCGACTCTTCAGTTTCGTTGAACTTGGGGAGCTTGATCATCACACTCGCACGCAGCCCGGTGCCGAGGTTGGACGGGCAGGTACCGAGGAAGCCAAGCTTGTCACAGTACCTGTTGCAGGACAATAGTAGGCGCGAAGTGAGTGTGTCTGTCTATGAGACAACGTGCACGTACGATGTCTAGTCTAGCAGTGGAGAGCAAACAAACTTTCGAGTTTGCCCATGGTCACGAAGCAACTGAGGAGGACCTCATTGACCACGACCATCTCGGAATTCCACATATCAGCACCTTTGCCGTCGCTTGTTGTGAATCGTTGTAGACCAGGGGCTCCGAAATTTAGCCTCGGCCTCACACGATCAACGTTGCCACAAGTGGGTGTAGCATACATCAGACCCAAAGCATTGGGGACCAAGGTTGAGACATCGTAATCCCGCCAACGGAAATACAAAGACACCGGCCAACTCCAACGAACGCCGACGACAACATCAACACCACCACCAGCATGCAGTCGTGATTTATTGTTGAACGGTAATTCTGCCCCACATGAGCTTGGTTCCGTTCGCCTCGGCAGCTGTCTTGAGCGCCTCCGATATCTGGGCGAATCTGGTGAAGACCGACTTGACGTTGCCGCCGTCCTCCATGGAGATGATGCGGCAGTGGTCCTCCTCGTTCACCCAGCACAGGGCGGTCTTTGATTCGTTGTGGAAGATTCCGCGGTCCTGCGTGCGGAAACGTTCATCGTGTACACAACGACAACCCACGGCAAAAAGTAAGGGGAGAAACGACGGAGTATTGCTCGCAATATTGAGAAACTGGTCTGTCAAGGTGATATCCCTCGTGGTGGGGAAGGTTTCAACTTGACTCTCGTACTTGAAGGGCCAACTAAGCCAACCGGTGGAGAAAAAAAATTAAGTCTCCGTCCAGCGTAGCAACTATCACCCGATTCGTACCATCAATGGTTTCCCTTCACAGAAATGTCATTACTGGTGAAACAACCCCATCCCTAGAATTATCCACCCCACTTTTTAATGAGACGAAGGCCCTTGCTTTCGAGCTATTCGACCGTACGTACACGACTAGAACTGCTGTTCTCCAAGGGTTTGTCGCTCTCACAGTGGGCCAGTTCTTGGCGGCTCCGGCGTGCCAGAGGAGGTTGGTGGTCTTAGGGATCTGGAACAGGAAGCCGCTGGACAGGAGCATGTTGCGGTCCTCGTCAGACAACGTGCCAAGGTCGTAGAACTTACCCGCCAGTTCGCCCTCGAACTTCTCGAAGGCTCCGCACAGCACTTCTCGCACCTTCTTTCGGTCCTGTGTTTTTGAGAACGTAGTCGGCAATTGTCGTTTGTTGTTGTTCTGGTATTGTGTGTCGCCGGCACGAATTGCATACGCACTGTGCGGGGGGGGCGAACACGCGGTGACGCACTTCAGCGGGCGTCTGGTTTGGCAGAGATTGTGCCGCTTTCTTGATACAAGTGCGCGTGCCAACGTCGCGCCCATGGATGGCGTTCGGTCACGGGGGTCTTGACACCAAACTGTGAACCGCCGTCACATTGTGTATGAAAGCGCCCCAAGCTTGGTTTCTTGTCTCCCCTCGCGTTTAACGAAGAACTGTTTAGGCCTTCCCTCGACGCCGAACATGCCCTTCATCCGGTACCAAAACAAAATGTGCTCGTATCCTAAGTATCCTAAGTGTTAAATAGAAAGTAACCGCGGCAAGAATTCTACAGTGTTGTTGGCTTCACGTTTACAACCCTTCGAAGCTTCATCCAGTTCTTTCTTGTCCCCTTTCTTAAAAAAAGCAATGAAGCAAAGTTCCGTGGTCGCAAGCTTGTCCAAAATACGCCTTGCGGCTATACAATCGATTTATTTTTGTGGTACACCGCGATCGTTTGACACGAAGGCGCAAGCATTCGTTACAACGATGGAAAACAGTTCTCATACCTCGTCATCAGTGCCCGCAGGCAGGGCGTAGCCAGAAACATTTCGGGCGGCGCGGATGCGGGTAGACACGACAAACTCATTGAACATCGCCACCTGAACATGGACGGGAAAACGCAGGCGGGCGGGCGGGCGGGCGGGCGGGCGGGCGGGACGCGACGGCCAAGTCAATTGTCCGTGATATCGATGTCTTTCTCTTCCTCTTCAAAACCCCTTTTATTGTCGAACATGTCATGTTTAGCCTGGGCGGGATGTCTTACATAGTAACCCGCCCACCGGCCTAGAATCTGCTCCATCCCGTGCCCATTCGAGCAGCGGACTACTTGTTGTGTGGAAGCAGCGAAGCAGACATGGGTGCAGTGTCCCCTGGAAGTGGGCGAGCGAAACGTGTAGGAGAAAAAGCTAGAAAATAGTGGAAACTGGACTGCATACAGAACGGCTAATCTGCACAAAACGGGTGGGCGTCTCAGTAGCTCAACACGGAGATCTCGTCAAAGCTCACAGAATAGCGTGTCTTCTTTAGACTCTTTTTTTCTTCCGAAACCTCATTCCCTATCCGGAATCCATAGATGGTCCGGGACAATTCGTAAAGTGGAGGCGCACAGAAAAAGCGTGTCTTTTTAAGAACATGTTCTTACAATTCCATAGATGAGGGTCCGGGACAATACTTCGTGGCGAGTTCAAAATTACGTGTGGCCTACCCGTGTTTTCTACAACCTCTCTGCGAGTGACATGCGTGACATCTCCATTGTAGGTAGCAGACTCAACCAGGCCGTGATCATGTTGTGTGTCGGACTGTATGTCTTGCACGAAAAACTATTGTACAACACAGCAGTACATTGTAGTTCGGTGAGATTTCTGCATCTGGTCTTAATGCTTCCTGCGCGTCGACGTGCCGGCAAGACGAAGGCCGAAGTATTGGTGGAAACAATCGATGGATTCGGCGGCCGAAATCGGAACTTGACGCGTAGGGTTCTATCGCTTTGGGTGTTGTTTGCGGCCGATACGCTTGATGCAATCGTTGGTTATCGTTGTGGTTGCTTCTGCTCCGGTTCAACTCTAAGACTTAAAGCACCAATCATCCCTCGACCTCGGACAATATTTCATCCGAGGAGGTCAACAACCTCTTGAGTGGCAGATCACCAGGGGAACCATCAACCATTACAAGGTGTACGCTAGCCATTAACGAATGTCCTGGGTAGACTAGTCTACAGTTGTATCGTTCAGCTCGCGATGCGACCAGCAATAGTGGCTGCCACACTTTGCTGCTGTTGGCGAGCGTCTGGCTGTCATGGTTCATGAAAAGGGTGAAGTGTGTGCGTAAAGTGCCTTCTACTATTGTACGATGCCATGCGGCGAGAACAGAATGCAACCAACCAACCGGCACGAGCACAACGGCGAGAGAGAGAGCAGTGTCGAGGAGACACAGGCGAACTCACCCCGCCGCTGAAAAATTGCCCCAGCAAATACAGATACAAACCAAACCAAACACGCATATGTGTTTCTCACACCTGCTCGTCGGTCATGGTCAGCTTCGACGCGTCGAGGTCAGACGTGTGGCTCTGAGTTTCTGGGTCGAACTGATGCCAACCCTTGATGATCGGGTAGTAGATGTCCTTAAACAGTGCCCACGACTCCTCGTCTCCGGCGGTGATGCCGACACCCAGGTGGGGCGTCATCACGCCCGTCTGAATAGCGCGGGATATTGTGTATCCCTTGGAGGTGGCGCCCGCGGCCTTGAGCTGCGTGAAGAGCTCGGGCGTGAGGTGCTTCGACATGAGTGAGATGTGCTTGTCGGTGAAATCAGGCTTCGTCTCGAAGTCCATGTTGGGAACCTCCGCGTCATTGAGGTGGGTGTTGACGCACTCGAGGATCTCGGCCGCGTTTTCCGAGGACTCGAACAAGGCCTCCACGGCCGCCTGCTGCTGCGGGTACAGGCGGTGCTTGACGTCCGCGTACTTCTCCTTCAGTTGGTCCTTGGACAGGTCGGCAGATGCCCCGGCTCCCATGGTTTTCGATAGTTGGGAAAAACAAGAATAGATTGGAAGCGTTTTCACGTTGCGAGGAAAACAAGTGCGGCGGTGCAGCTGGGCGTAGAAGATGGAGGCCTGCGAGTGTTTGTAGCGTGGTGCTGGCGCAAGAATGTATCGATTGGTGTTGCGCGGCAAAACCAGTGTGCTGTCGCCCTCTCTCTGTTTGTGTTCCCGTCTGCGCGAGATTTTCCGGCCAACCACAGCAGTCGGGCGCGCCGATTCGGCGGTTTCAGAAAACATGCACAAGAAATGCCTTCGGAACCACATGCGGACCACCCCCACGTCATCGATGTCATCTGTAATTCCGCCGCGTCTGACTCCGGCACACAGCACACAGCACACGCCGTAGCGCCGTAGTCACCAGCTGAATTGCGCAAGCAAGGAACGTGCGCGATAGATGGGCATCCCTGAAGGGCGCCGCGGACATCCGGGCGTAACCATGAGGGCGCCTTATACTATCTTGGCTGTGTTCGCGTTTGTCGCCCAAGCCCATGCGTTCTCCCCCGGCGCAGGTGCAACACGTACTTGCCGGAGGACCTTGGGTGCCGCCGGCACCGCCGCCCCGTCCGCTTGCAGATCGCCCTTCTCTAGGACGAGGCCAGCAGCAGGAGCAGCAGCAGGCGCAGAGGGTCTTCGAATGAGCGCCAGCGATGCGTTCGACGTCAACGCTGCGCTGGCAGAGCTTCGTGCAAGCGCGAGCTCCGCGGCCCAGAGTCAGCTACCACCGTCTCAGCAGCCGAGCTTGCCGCCGTTGCCGTCGTTCGAGCTCCCCAAAGGCGTCCAAATCCCCACGCCGTCGCAAGTGTTGGATGCCATCCCGAAGCTGACGTTGCCGAGCCTTCCGGAGCTACCCGCGGGAGCGGCGCAGCCGAGCACAGCCAACCTCCTGCCGCCCGAGCTTCTTCAGCCGACCGGCGACACCTGGATTTTTTCGCGTCTGTCAGAGGCGGCCACGAAGGCATCGGAGTCATCCCTGAACGCTGCCTCCAGGCTCCTGCCCCCGACCCCGGACAAGTACGCCCAGCTGGCTACCCAGATCTCCGACTCCTGCGGGCGTGCCTCGCTCCAGGTGTCGAACGCCCTGGACGCCCTCGTGGTGGCAAACCCTTCCCTCGCACCCGCGGTGGCCCACCTGCGGTCCTCGTTGACAGACGCCCTCGCCTCCCTGGGCGAGGCTTACGCGGCTGGCGATGCCTTGATCCCGGAGGAGTACAAGCCCTTCGCTGCCACCCTGGTGATCGGCGCGGGGGCGACGGCGCTGGGAATGTCCATGGCCGCCCTCTCGGAGGAAGGGAAGGTGTCGAGGGAGGCGAAGAACGCGCCACTGCCTCGGGAGTACGACCTCCCAGGTACGGTGTTTATCCCAGCTCCATTTGAAGCAACAGCAGTACAAGTAACCTCTTTCTTCATCCTTACCTGTATCCAAACGTCTTATTTTTCCGATTGCATGGAGTTCGACTGTGTTTGTTCGTAATGTCAGTGTTTTTTTTTTTTAGCGCAGTCTAGGGAAACGCCGGGGGTAGCACTTGTGCCCCCATGTGCTGTAGCCTCGCAACCTGTCGACGTTTGCGCAATAGGTTGATGTTCAGGGTGCTATGACACGTTTTGTCTCAAGATCACATCCTGCCCGGGTTCTCGACTGCACTACTCTCACCCGCGTCTTCACTGCAGGCGTGCTGCTAAATAGTTGTTGCAGCTATAGTGGTGTTGCAGTTGATTTGTAATCTACAAAAGCAGCACCCAACCTGGACAGAATTGATAATAATGTTTGGTAACGTAAGATACCACACCCCCTGGACCTATGTTCAAACTTGACAGCTGCACGACGAAGACTTCGAATCCACGATGAAATTGTATGTGTTCGGCAAGCTGTCGACCACGTTCGACATTTCTTGTTCCTGCTGAGAAATCGAGCGTTGAAAGTGGGTCCAAAGGGTGGTGTGCGGTGCCTCCACGCAACCTGCGGGCCTACGAGCATTAAGACGCGCAAGCTATTATAGTCGAGGTTGCCGACTCCCCCTTAACCGTGCAGACTCGCGTCCTTCAACGACTCACTCTCGATCATTCCCTTGTATCGCCGTGTCTCACTCTCTCGCTGCTGCTCTCTGCGTGTACCACGCACTTCCTGCGCACACATCAACACTCAACAACACTCAACAACAACAGCCATCATGAACTACTACAACTCGAGGCCACTGACACTTCTCTCGAGGCTCGCGGAGGTGTCATACCGGCTGGGCTCCCTCGCCGCCAAGCTTTGGCTGGACAGGAAGGTCGGCGACGGCAGCGGGTGGGAGAAGAACATGGACTCGAGGGCCACAGAGTTCGTGGAGTTTGTCCAGGGGGCAGGTCCGGCGTTCATCAAGATTGGCCAGGGAGTTTCGATCCGGCCAGACATTTTGCCGGAGCCCTACCTCAAGGAGCTTTCCAAGCTTCAGGACAGGGTGGGTGTGGTCGCATTTGGTCTCGGATGTGTGTGGGCTCGTCGTGTGCGCTATTTTGTTGTTTCTCTTGGTGGTGTGTTGGACTTCCCTTGCCCCCCTCGCCACCTGCTGTAGTCTGCTGGCGGTTTTAGCGTGGTTTCCGCGGCCACGTCAAAGTGTGGGCGTTGGGTTGGTCCGACCGCCTTTTCTCCTGATTCGGTCGCCTTGCCGTCTGAGCTCTGCTCAAGCTCACGCATTGTGCTGGAGTTCGCACGTTCTGTCTCGTGCCCTAGAACCTAGAAATGCCGACGTTAGCAACCAACACCGGTGTGAATACACGCCCAACCTCGTATGCGCTGCGGCATACCCTTGGTGCTCGCCCTAGCTCGAGACTTGGACGATTCTGCCGTGCCTGTGCTGACTTCTTCTCTAGTGGTTGTATTACATATGATTTGATGCCCCGTCCCCCCTACCCTGTCTCCACACTCCATCACGGCCTTGCGTATTCATCGTGTTGCCCCTTTTTCTTTGTTGTAGCATCACTGCCTTCCTCACATCGTCAAGCCTATGCCTCTTTTGTGGCCCTCACCATTCAGCGTGTGCCCGTTGGCGTGGCGTGCACACAGGTGAACCCGTTCGACTCCGGAGACGCCAGGAGAATTCTCGAGCAGCAGCTGGGCAAGCCCCTCCGTGAGATCTTCCTCGATGCCGACACGGCCTTCGAGATCCCCGTAGCCGCGGCGTCACTCGGTCAGGTGAGAGGCAGACACGTCCCACCGAGAGAAGACTACTATTTTCTACAACAGCACATGGTCCCTCCTTCGCCACACAAACGGCAATATGACTAATCACCACCACCATTCCCAACAAGTACAACAAGAAGAAACCAACCAACAAAAAAACGTACAAAATAAATATCAGGTATATAAGGCGACCCTGGTGACGGGGGAGGTGGTCGCCGTGAAGGTGCAGCGACCGGACGTGCTGGAGTCCGTAACGCTGGACCTGTACGTGATCAGGCTGCTGCTGCTCTTCATCGCCAAGAACGACTCTACGAGGGAGAGCGCGCTCAGCATCTTGGGGGTGATCGACAACTGGGCCGACCGCTTCTTGCAGGAGCTGGACTATCTTCAGGAGGCCGCGAACGGCGACAGGTTTGGGCTTGGCGTGAGGGTGATTGGTTTTCGGTTGAGTTTTGTGCGGGCTGTGGCTGTCGCTGTCGGTAGCGTTGCTGCTGCTGTCGCTGTGGTTGTTGCTGCTGCACTTGCCGTTGTTGTTGCTCCCGTTGGTGTTTGGTCTTGGTACCGGGTGGTATGGGGTCATTTCGTCGAGCGAGAGCGGAGCAGGGTGTTCTCAGCTGGGCGCGTGAAGAATGAACGGCTACGCTTTGGGAGGGATGCGTACAGGCGAAGATGGATGAACGCGACGGCCCGCGAGGTGGACTTTCCCTTGTGGCGTCAAGGAGAAACTAGTAAAATATCAAAAGTGGTTACTTTTACGTGAAGGCGTCATGTGAAGGCAAAGAGAAGACCCAAAGGTCTCGCTGAAGAAACCGACGTATGGAGTTGTCCAGAAGTGGTGCCGATTGAGAGCGCATACTTTCTACCAACCACCTGGGAAGCGAAGCTACGTGACCAGCCAGCCGCTCACGGCATCCGTGCACCAACCATATGCTCGATTCTTTCCCGAACAATTAGTTCTTCGCCGAAACAAACAAAAGTAGACCGTGAAACCGCATCACCACGATGTTTCCGTTCCAATAACGACAAAAAACCCCCGACCAGGTTCCGCCGAGAGATGGCGGAGAGCAAGACCCTCGGGGAGGCGATCCTCGTTCCTCAGGTCTACACATCCTTGAACACGCGCTACATCCTGGTGACGGAGTGGGTCGAGGGCGTGAAGGTGGGGCGGCCGCGTCCGGCAGATGTGTGCATCAGGTCGCTTCGTGTGTGTGCCGTGAGGGGAAGGTCATGCCAGCGTACTGTCTATGTTGAGAACGGTACAACCAAGACAGCGTAACTTGGGTGACGCGTATTAATCAGGAAGAAGCTCCTCTCTCGGTGATACGCCTGCGTTTGTAGCGTCAACTGTTCCGGTCCCCGGAGACGATGAAATATTTCTGACCCCCGCTTCCCAGCATCGTGTGTACCCCTACTCTTCTCATGAACTGTTTCACAACATCTATAACAAAACGACAGGTGGACGCTATCGACTCTTCCACGCCAGCCGGGCGCGAGCGGCTGAAGAAGATCGTGGCAACGCTTCTCAACTCCTACCTGGCTCAGCTGCTGGAGTCCGGCTTCCTGCACGCCGACCCCCACCCGTAAGAAAAAATATGGCTTTTTCTACGGCATTAGTAGGCGTAGGCATGGGCGCGGGCGTGGACCACGAGCTTCTTGTTGTCTGCACGCAGAATAACTTTGTCGACCCGTGACGAAGAGAGTAGAGCAAATGCTCTCCTAAATATCGCTTTGGGCTTTGGCGTGGCCTGGGACAGTCTAGTTCTTCGTCGTTCTCCTAGAATGGAACGGACGGCACCCGTCACACTTGTGACTGATGAAAAGTACACGGGGCATGCGCCCTCTTAACATTTTCCCATCCGTCTCACCGGTGTTGGAAAGAAAAATCTCTCCAGAGAGAGAATCGAACGCACAAAGTGCTACTTGTACAGCTACAACAGCATTGGTCCCGGTGTAGTGCCGGCGAAATCGTCTGGCAAACGTGGAATATCAAGTTGTTTTTATACTCTGAAAATTGCCTGTTGCCCGCTATTGTGCCGGTGAAATCGGCTGGATCACACCGGCAATACCGTCACCACTACTCTGTAAACAGCACTTCTATTGCCCACTAAATCGACCATCGGGGCGATCGGCAAAAAAAAGTCTCGACACTCGGATTCGAACCAAGGACCAACAGATCACCACGGTTTGCCACTACAGTCTGTCGCTCTACCGGGCTGAGCTATGTCGAGATATTGTCGAATGCCGCGTTGCGGAGAGCAATTTGAACACAAATGTTCCACGGCGTATCTACGAGGTTTGGCTTTTCCGGGGCCTTTTCTTTTTGTTTTTTGCGCGTGCCTCTGATTGCGTGTCCGTATTTTCCGCTATTCGTCGCCCACGACCGGCGGGACTGCTTCTGCCCCCGCCCCACGAGCACGGCGATGTCCACCCGCAACACGCTCTCACCCCTTCCCTGCATTTTGTTTTTCCACCTTTCTTTTTCACCCGGGAATAGGGGTAATTTCCTGTGCACCCCCGACGGACGGCTGTGCGTGCTGGACATGGGCCTGATGACCGAGGTTTGTATTCCTGTGGTTCTCAGTTTTTTTTTGTCGTTGGGCTGTCGGCTCGGCTCAAGTCCTTTTTTGTCGGTTTCTCTCCTCGGGTAACAAGGGACCCTGTGCAACACTCCCTGTAGGCCGACATGATCGAAATATATCAAAGCCTACGAATACGAGAGTTGTTTGAAGGAGGATTGGAACAGTGGAGGAAGTAGAGGCGTAGTCGATACCGGATGGAAGGTATCTTGGTATCGAGGAGGGAACAAGGGCACCGCACAACCCAAGCAGACGTGATCGTCACCCCCTTCCTTCCCCCCCTGCCCCAAATCCCGACTCTCGGTTGTATCGCAATTCACCTAGTTCACGAAACCTCCTTCATTTGGTTGTTGGGATGCTGCCCAAAACATGCACAGGCAGGACCTGCTGCGTGCACATGCCGACCTTCGCCGTGTTTAGGGGGTGCACCCGCGTCTCAACCCCCCCTTCCCCCCCACCCCGCCCTCCTCGTCCGTACCTGCGTGCCTCCCCGGGTAGGTAGGAGAGGACCAGAGGTACGCCCTGTTGGAGTACGTTTCACACCTCACCGCCAAGGACTACGAGGCCACGCTCTACGACCTCATCGTGCTCGGCTTCATCCCCGAGGAGATCGGCCAGGACCCGGAAAAGGTGTGGTTTCGCGGTGCCCCCCTTTCCTGGCCTGCATCCATCCGCGCTGAAAGCAGAGTCCGACGGTAGCTTGATGGCGGCTTCGTTTCTTGTGACGAGGATTTGCTTTGGGAGTATGCTCAGTCTGGGCGTGTTGTTTGTATTGCTTAGTTTATGAACGAGTGCAGTCAAGAGAAGATGGAGAAAATGTGAGATTTATCTGCGCGGTGGGATCGTTGTTGTGTCACTTGTCGTCTTTTCCCCTGGAGTGCAGTGCCATGTGTCTACCTCTGCTGCTGGTGCTGGTTCATAAGCACCCAACAACAGTCAATAATGATGAAGTTTTCTTGGCTCCAACTCGAGTGCGGTCGCTTGGCTCCCTCTCTCCGCCATTGTTGGAATGGTTCGAACGCACCGGCGCTGCATACATTCATCGGCTGCGGTCGACTTCCCGCATCTGGTGTATTTCCTGTTTCAAACGCGAAGGCGTTTCTTTTCTTTCTCGCCTGTCAAAGTCCTGCTCATGCAGCTGCTGTCGAGAATCAGATTCAGCAATCGCGCCACAACGAGACGTCGAGCCCATTGTGGCCTATTCCCTACCAACGCCCCTCTCTCTCTCCGCCCACCTCCCTCCCACGACAACTGAAATGCCGATGGTGTTCTCATCGCTCTGCCGATATTACCTTCAAGAAAACTGTGCCGAAACGGTTGCCGCTGCCTCTGCCGCCGCCGTCACCGCTGTTGCGTGGGCTGAATCAACTGTTTCAACTTCACGTTGACCTGCACAGGCCGGCATCGTGGCGCCCCTGCTCGCCACCGTGCTGGAGCAGCTCTCCAACGGCGGCGGAGCCAAGTCGGTGACGGTCGAGACGGTGGGCGAAGAGGTGGAAGAGCTGGGCCGGCAGTACCCCATCCGAATCCCGGCCTACTTCGGGCTCATCATCCGGTGGGAAAAAATAACGTGGTTATTGTTTTTGGACACTGCCGGCCAGCAGCTGCTGCTGTGTGCCTTGTTGTTCTTGGAGTTGATCGATTCGCGAACCGCTGCGTGGCTCGCTGCTCTCGGCATGGTCCGTGTTCTGGTGCGTTGTCTTGAAAACCTAACCCTCTTTTTTAGAGAAACGCTGGAAAGGCTCCGGTACATACTCTTTGCCAAGGTGCCCACGGCAGCAGCAGCAGCAGCAGCAGCAGCAACACCGAGGGTGTTCGAGAAGTCGCTACTTGCCTTCCGCTACAATCAGTATCGTTGCCCTTGTGTCTGTTCTCGCTCCCTCACGGGTGACACGCCGGTGGAGAACCGGAGCTGCAACACGTCGATGTAGAACGCGCCACGGTTGCGCTATTTATTGTATGGGTTTGCGCTAATTTTTTGTGTTCCCTGGCGTATCCCTGGGCCCGATCGTTGGGTGTTGGGCCTTCTTCCTGTCCAATGCGAAGAAGTACGGACGCCCCGCATTCCTTTCGTAAGTTGCTGTTCACTGCGATGAAGTCTGACCTAACCGTCGGCCGCCCCAACCCTGGAACTGCCCTCTTTTTCTTCCGACAAATAATAAATCTCAACCAATTAGCGCTTTCTCCGCCCTGGAAGGGCTCGGGCTGCAGCTGGATGAGCAGTACTCCATCGTGAACGAGTGTTTCCCTTACCTGGCGAGGCGTCTGCTGACGGAGGACTCGGACCGGATGCACAAGATGCTCCGAACCTTCTTGTACGGCAAGGACGGCCGGTACCTCAAGGTGAGACCAAAGGACAAGGGAATGGGGCACTCTGTCTTCGTTGTACGTTGTAAACGTCCTCGAGGCCCAGCTTGTTTTTGTTGTTGTTGTTGTTGTTCTTGTAGTTTTGGTGGGTTATGTTAGCTGAGTACAGTCCCCTCTTTGGCACCCTTCAAGGGATAAACACGGATTCCAGTACTGGTGACCTGCTGTTCAGTGTTTCCGGGGGTGAGCTGGTGTTACGCCGTGGTGGTATGGACGTGGAAGGCCCCTTGTTGCTGCTCTCTAGAAATACGATTTGGATTGCCTCATTGTCGTAGTGTGCCTCATATCCTTTTTTTTTCTTCAAATATTTTCTTTTTCTTTTCCCTGCCTGGTTCTTGGCATCGGCTGATTCCCCCTCTCATGTCTCCTCCCTATAATAGTAACCGGTGTTGCCGTTCCTCTTTCGTCTCGTCCGGCTCCTGCCGTGCTTCTCCTTCCTCGAGGTGGACCGGGTGGACGATCTCGTCGACGGCTACTCCCAATTCACCGCCCTCGCAGACGAGGCCTCCAAGGGTCTCGCCGTGGACGGGGTGAAAGACCCCCTCGGTCGCACCTCCCACGTTCCGACAGCCACCGCCGCCGCTACCGCCGCCGCCGCCACCACCGCCTCCGCTGAAACCCCAACCTCTCAGCAACACACCGCCGCCTCTTCTTCCTCCCGACGGCGGCAAGGGCCACAATCGCCGGCGCCGTTGTTTGGCGGCGGTGGCGGCGGCGGCGGCGGGGGTGCGCCAGCTTCGGTCCCTGCGTTTGCTTCTGCGGGGGCGACCTCGGTGGCAGGGGCCGCCGAGGGGGCTCCGGGAGGGGCGATGGCGGTTGGAGTGGACCCTATCCAGGACCCGGTGGCAAGGGATGCCCTCAAGCTGCTGTTTTCGAAGGAGGGAAACTACGTTCAGGTGCGCTTGCATTTGCTGCGTGCCGAGTGGGGCGGGGCGGGAGGGCAAGGGCTCAATTGTTCGATCGATGATTTGCTGCGCCGCTAGATACCCTTGTTTTTTCTCTCTTTTATTTTTTGTTCCCGAGGAGCTCATTGCGTGCAATTCCGCGGTGCAGGTTTTTTGTCTTCACACAGTATGAAAAAACCGCGCGATTTACCGCCTTCCCTTCATAGACGAAGTATTGTGAAAGATAATCGAAATCGAAAACCATGGCGAAAATGAGACTTGCGCCCTTATCTAGGAACGTTTTAATCACGACTCGGGCACGGCGAATTTTCCGTCCTGTGTGCCAACAAACACACTTTTATTGAAACAGGAGCTTGTGGTGGAGGAGCTGGTCCGAATGACGGACGCGCTTAGCCGGGAGGCTAACCTCCAGATCATCCAGGCCCTGAGGACGTTGACGGAGGCGCCGCTGTCCCCGGCGAGGATCGCGCGCGCGCTGGCGGAGGCGCCGATGAACCCGTTGCTTGCACCCCTGCAGATCCCCGTAAAGTGAGTGAAAGGATGTACAATGAGCGATTACCCCTGACACGCGTTGTGACTTGCCCGAAAGGTTCGGGCCCGTAGTAAGTGAGTGCCCCGGCGCGCTCCGCTCCTCTTGATCACACCGTTCGCCTTGACGGCAAGCCAAGCAGACAATGACACCCACCCCACCCCCCCCCCCGCTCCGCCCCTGCAAAACATACACGTACACCCACCCAAAAAACAACCACGAAAAAGGGTGCAATCGTTCGCGCTGTCTAGAATATTCAACCGCCTCGAGGTGGCGCTGGAGCTTACCCAAGAGGACCAGGAGAGCCTCAAGGCCCTCCGACGTCTCCAGCAGCTCCTGCAGGGGGGCATCAACAACGACGGCGGCGAGAACTCGTCGTCCTCCTCGTCGTCGTCGAGAGGCGTGGGCTTCCCCTTGCCCCCGTCGCCGGCGGCGCTGCTGTCCGGAGGCGGGAGCATCTTCCCTTCGGGGTTCTCGTTGCAGCCCGGGGCGGCGGTGGGCCCGCGGGAGGCCGTGGACGCGGCGCGACAAGCGGCGGGGCTGGCGTCGATGATCGGGCCCGGCGTGGCCTCCATCGCGCAGAAGTTCTTGGTCCAGCTTGCAGCGAGGTACGTGCGCGTGTGTATTTATTTTTTGGCATCGACCTTTGTGTGCGTGGCTGTATTGTTAGCATCGACCGCGCTACCCGACTGACCAATGGAAAGACATCAGTCTCAGTGCGGTTGAAAACACAAAACTCTTCTAAACGCCATGAACTGGGGCCCCCGTGAGGGGGCGGCACGGGGGAGGCTAAGATTTTCTCCGGATTGAAGAGAAAAACGTTAGCAACAGAGGAATGTACTTGTCCACCAAGGCTGCTACCTTGCGCTCGAGTTCGTTTCGGAGTGCTTTCATCATTGCATCATCCTCCTTGCTTTCACCACACTCACTCTCATCGTCATTTTACAGCTATTTTTGGGCAGTTGTTCTCCTGCCCTGTGTCGTATGTTGTGGGGAAGGTCATCTGGCTCGAAGCTCTTGCTCTCTTCCACTCCATGCTTCCCTCCTCCATTGCTGTCGTCTTGGTATCTGTTTGTCCTCCCGTTCCCTCTCCTCCTCCTCCGTCGCTACCAAATGAATTCCCCATCGCCATGGTCATCGTCTTTGTCTGCACTACTGTTATGCTGAGATCCCAACCTATTGGTCGTGGTGGGAACTGATCAAGAAGTATTCCATAACGTTTGAAAACATCACGAGTTCAAACCGGCCGAAAACGAGCCAACTCGAAGGTAAACCGTCTCTGAATCCTGTTGGTGTGATAGGCCTTCAGGCGAAGCAAGGCTGTTTCGTGGTCAAAATTCCCCCTGCAACATGCCTCGTACCAAGTGGTTGGCAATAGCTACGTGTGTGTGTGTTTCCATGACCAATGAAAGCGCGTCAGTCTCAGCGCGGTTGACAAATGGAAATACCTCTAAAGGCCGTGGTCTGGGACCCTGTGAGGGACACATTGATGGGGGGGGGCTAAGCTACTCTCCGTATTCAAGACAGAAGTCGGTAGCAACCAAAGAGGACGTGTGTGTGCGTGTGCATGCACGCGCCGCGCGTGCGTTTCCTTGTCGAATAATGGTCGGCTGTATTGTCCGGCTGAGGTATCGTAAGCCGTGAACCTTGACGAGACAGAAACGCTCAATCCGCGGGTCCCCTTACGGGGTTCCTGTGAAGGGAAGATTGAATAGAAGAGCCCCAGCGGTCGCATTTTGAGCACATACATGGGAAGGACGAAAAATGAGTGTGCGTGCGTGTTTTTTTCTGAGCAAATTGGCTTTTGTGTCCGTGTGCTCGACATACGAATTAACAATGTCAGAATTTGTATCGTTAGATCCTTTTTGGCGTACAACCCACGGCAGGCGGGGGTGTAACGCAAGACCGGGGAAAATGACCACCCCGACCCGTTTTTTGGCGTCGTTGCTGTGTGTCCTTCTCCCCGCTGTTTTTCTGCCTTCTTCGTTTCGTGCAGGACGCTTGACCGTCTTGCCGATAGCTTCGACGAGCAAGGGAACAAGGACGGTGCTGGTGGTGCTACTACCGTCGAGGGTGTCGCGTCAGGTGTCCGGGAACCGGCATCAACACAGCGGGGGCGGTTCTACGCCGACGAGAGTAAATAATAGTACCCCGAACACCCCCCACAATGCTTGCGCGAGGACGCTGCGCATGGAAAGTTTTGTATGTTCACTCGGAAACGGGGAGAGTAGAAACAAGAATCGAAGGGGGGGTGACGAAACAATGTGTGGTTTCCGACCGTTCTTGGTATTGTCGTTTGTCGTTCCGTCGTGAAGAAAACAGGCGAGAGTGTGGCTCGGGCACAGGAGCCCCCTCTGTCCACATTGCCGTTGTATAGTTTCGTGACGATGTCGGATAACGTGCACTCCCACCTCCGCTGCTGGTCTTTGGCGATGTGAGATGATTTCACCCACAAAGCTGGCAGCGGAGCTCATTTTGACGTGTGACAGTTTCTTGGGTTATGGTTGTTGTCAATGTATGGTACCTTGTTTCACAGATGCCTGTGTGTTGCTATTGTCTGCGAAACCTACAAGCTTATCCCGAGGGACTGTGGCAGAAAGAATCCGGGTTCGCGAGGGCCAATCAGCTGCCTCCCTTTAAATTGGCGCCTACTTTTGGCGTCTTGTCTATTTTCGAGTAGTTTTGGCAAACAAGCCGCTTTCTGCATTCGAACCAACCAGTTCAGCGACCGAAACACATCAGGCGGGAGCCTGGACACTGCAACGGGCGCATACCACACACCCACAGCAGGATAGAACCAGTGTGTACGAAGTTTCGCAACGTCAATCCACCCTGAGTGAGTGTCGATGAAAAGCTACAGTACAGCGAGGAGAGAGAGATCGCACACACACGCACACACACGGGATTATTTACGTCGAGCTACAGCAGCACTATTACCCACATCCAGGGATCCGTGCATGCTATATTTGTATCGTCGGCACGCCTGTCCTCTCGCCAGACCACTTCAAGTAACGTGATGATGATGTCCCCAAAGCAATCACCATCAATCATCAATCCCGACGCGTTGGTATGTTGACAACCCGCATGGCAGTATATCTGCACGGCGATTTCTTTGCTGTCGCGGTGACGAGAACTCTGCGTCCTTCCCTTCATAGATTCATAGAAGTGCAACATATTTTTGGAAAGCGTGCGGCTCGCAGATATATAAATGGGTTTCACATACATTAGCGGGCTTGGCCCGCGTAATTTACCCCCGAAAGCTCTGCCCTGGTACAAAAATTTGCCCGTGTGTTTGTTTTATTTAGATTCACAAGTCATTCAGAGCTCTTGTTCTGCTCTTCCCAAAGCTAATGAGAGTTTGATATATCAGTGACTGTTACAAGGTAACCAACATACACAGGCTAGGGAACGGAACAAGGCAGCGAGTGAGTACACTCGTGTGTGGGGTAGGTAGAATGTACGACGTGCGGAAGGCAAGGGAACATTGTGGGAGAGGTGATGGAGGAGCCATGGAGCATGAAGTTAGGACGTTCACGAATACGTTCCTGAATGTGTGTCCGATTGAAGTACACCAACAACAGGGACACCGAATCCCATCACCAATACATTTATTCTGGCCGGCCAGCACAATCGTTTTGCTCCTACGTGTCTCTCCAATCATACACCGTGATCCAATGAAATGAGATATCATAAAGACTCAACTCACGAGACTCCAACGAGCTTCACAGTGTTGTACACACCCTCAAAATACCATTTCGAAGTTCATATTTTCACAAGGTCGTTCCCAAAGCCTGCTTCCCCCTCACCATGTACATTTACTTGCTATTATACTGGGAAAAAGTCGCTAGACAAACCCGGTTCCCCAATTCCCTTCTCGCATGAATTCTCATGAAAGCATTTCGTGCTGTGGCCAGCGAAAAGGCCTTCATGGACCGGAATCATTGGAGGTGGAAGAACCCTGGACAGGTGTCGCGGGGGCAGCGTACGACCTGCACAGTCGAGGGGATGATAGCGCGACCGGAACGGATGGGGGGGGGAGATAGGCCAGGAACAGGGGAGAGCAGAGAAAAAGGGGCGAGGCACGTTAGTCGTTGCTGGTTTATGCATTGACTAACGTGGGAGGTAGTGTTTGGTGTACCATCGTCGGGGACATATATTTACCTTGGAGATTTCGCCAAGGGATTCACACGTGTTTCACAGCTCACGTTGGAGTGTGCCACATCCTACCAGTTCAAGAGTGTGCAGGCCTAGGACGTACAATTTGCCGTAGAATAGGTCGACCGCACTACGGGCAACGATACCGAATTTGAAGGCGCCCACGCACGGAAAGGAAGACCTCAACGTGGGAAGGTTAAAAGGAGACCCTCAAGTTCTTGTGGTTGACCAGATTTCCGATGTACGCTACAATTCGACACCATCATCTGCTGGGAAGCGCTCCTCAGCGGCTACCTGCAAGGTCACACTCTCTTTCCTTTCATGAGCAAATTGATCAGGTTCTGACATGCGTTGGTTGTATATCATACATACATACGGGCAGCGTGCACGACGAGCTCTATATCCCGTTGTGTGATTCACAATCGTTACACAGCCATCGCTGAGATTGCTTCATGCTACCAATTCAGAGAGTGTGGAGGGCTTGCACGTGCGTAGTCGTCTATGAGACCGACTGTTCTTAGCTACGGACGCCACCGAGCTTGAAGGCGCCCACCCACGGAAAGGAACGAGTCCACGCGAGAGGGTAAAAGGAGACCCTCAAGCTCTTTTGGTTGACCAGATTTCCGATGTACGCTATTCAACACCGCATATCTGTTGGGAAGCGCTCCTCAGCGACTACCTGCAAGGTCATGCTCTCTTAGCCGGTGTCAAGCAAACTGATCAGGTGTCGGGTATGCGTCGATGATCGTTTATCTACCGCGGGAGAGCTTGCACGAAGAACTGTATATCCCGTGGTGTGACTCACAACCTTTACGCAGCCAACGTTTGAGGAATGCTGCCAAGCTCAGAGCATGCACGACCTGCACGTGCGTTAGTCGTGTAATCAGACAACGACTATCGAGCTTGAAGGCGCCGACCCACGGAAAGGAACAAGTCCACGTGAGAAGGTTAAAGGAGACCCAAAAGCTCTAATTTCCAGATTTCCGATGTCGCTATTCGACACCGCTCATCTGTTCGGAAGCGCTCCTCACGGGCTACCTGCAAGGTGACACCCTCTTAAGCCGGTGCCCAGCAGAGTGACCACGTCTGACATGCGTCAATTGTATATCTACTACCGCGAGAGAGCTTGCACGGAAAGCTGCATCTCCCGGTGTGATTCACAACTGTTATACACAGCCAACTTTGATATGTGCCTCATGCGACCAGCTTAGAGTATGGGCAGAGCTTGCACTTGTGCGGGTAGCTCGGAAGCCGGAGATAGAGGTATATACCCCACAGAACATCCCCCGCAAGTCTCTGCTGGGTCGACGACACAATTCCGGGGGGACACCCCCCGTTATGTCGAGTTCTACTGAAGTTAGGCCTCCATTGGGTCTGCATATATGTAAGCAGACGGTTGTCTGTCGTAAACACAGGGTCTAAAAAACGTACACCAATGTCGAAAGATGCCCCTGGTACATACATAGGAAACAGTATCACGAATCCAAGTCGAAAGTACGTCATCTATTTTCAACAATGCGAGAGTGGTTTTGTCTCGCCTTTCGCAGTAGGCTAGCTTGCGCACCGTCACTTCCGCCTCCTTCTCTGCCCCGTTCCGTTTGCCGTTGGAGGTGGCGAGGTGAACCGTCGACCTGCTGGTGCAAGGTTGTGGTGGAAGAGAAAATAAAATTACCTTGCGGGAAGGTATGATCTTTCATTACATACGGCGATTGTTCTTCAAAATGGTTGGACATTGATTGAACGTTTCACCTCCGGAGGACACACAATATCGCGAATTCTGAGCTGCAAATAAACTGACCACCACTCCCCCTCTGCCTGCTCCATCCGCTTGGGGTCCGAACACATGTCACACACTGGTAGTCTGAGCAGGTCGCCGTCTGGAAGGCCGAGACAAGGGACAAGTGAATGCAGTATGGTACGCCGGTGTTCAGGAGGCCGGATTTCACAATTGAACGTACTAGGATATATGGCGTCCGCACGCCCCAAGGACCGGATCGGCCACCGGCATCACACTACTGACGTATACATAGGTAGATTAGTTTGAAATTAAACCTGTGCACGGTATCGTCGTATGAGTGTCGGAAGCCGTCGCGTTGCGCCGAGGGGTCTAAATACAGTAGAGGCATTCCTCCCGCGCGCCATTTGCTGAAACGCATGGATTGCGTCTCGATTTTGACTCTTGGAGAATCGTCTTTGTGAGGGAGGCATGCCGAAGGTACACCGTACATTGATGACAGTTATTCAGGACGGGTGCAACTATTATCGTTCGAACATGTATAGTACCCGAGTAGCGGGCGGTTTGGAGTAGAACTAGAGTTCACCTGGACATTGCGGGAGCACGCAAATTTCGTCGTGAACAGATTTAATATCGTTGATATATGGCACCTGAATCAACATCGATCGATATCGGTGCAGAGATGCAACTATTTACTGTAATCATGCCGTTCGAGCTATTTATTGCGCACCCCGGTGTGCCATGACACCGACGGGTGCGAAACCAACGGTGGGTGCCATGACACGCACTGGTACGGTAGGCCTCTCCGTGCATTCAGCCGACCTCGTTTTCGCAAATCCGAACAAAGCCATGTATGACGTGAACATATATGTTGTGCAAAATGTGTGTTTTGCACTCACCACTTGAGTCGCGCTGTAAAGACACTGTGACTCCTGACTCACCTGTTTGTCACGCCGTGTCGTCGGGTTGTCCTGAGAAGGTCGTTCGGGAAGGCGGTGTATGCGGCACAAAGTTGTAGTTGTTGGGGGTTGAGGTGGTTGCGTGAGGGGGCGGAGAGAGTGAGCCAAGTCTGGCGCCTGGATCTACCCATCAATATTTGAGATGATGGTTTGAAGGGTTGAATCGAGGTCTGTACCTCGGGACTGTCGGAAGCCTGTTTGAGCAACGAACGATACTATGGTACAGCACTACAAAGCGACCGCGTAGTGGTCATGTCTCGTGCATCGTTTTTTAGGGACATCGTTACAATGACACATCATACAATGACATCACCCTCACCGAAGAAGAAATACCCCCCCCCCGCCCAAAACACTGCTCGAGGACCGTATGTAGTAGTTTCGCCGCTTTCAATCACGGAGCCCGTATTATCACACCTGTTGGTACTACAATGCACGGCCGGACGTACACACACACAAACAGCCGCAGCTGGCATGCACACAAGCCCGGGCATCATGGGGTGCTGGAAACGACTTTGCTGGAAATGGCGTGGCGCAGACGGTGCCAACAAGTCTGTGACGGCACCGTCACGCGCAATTACGCCATGTTTCCCAAGTGATGAGACTCTACCAAGACCTGCGGTCGCACGGTTTGCCGAAGCCCGGATAACAGCCTCTGCTGAGGCCCGCACAACAGCGCCCGCCGAAGCCCGCACAACCTAGTCTGCGAGGACCGCACATTAACAGTATGCTGCGCTCCCGCTATCCCGGAGCCATCATCGAGGAAGATATCGCAGAAGAACCCTGTAACTGCTATGTATGGAAACGGCAGATTCACCATGAGACCAACATATTTTCCCAATGGGGC